GCAACTGCCTGTAAACTGGAGACCGATGTGTGGGGACCTGGGAAGCAGCGTGGGCGCCCCACGGCTCCGGCTGGAGCTGAGCTGCGTGGGAAAAGCCTCGACTCGCTTCCCGCCGAACGACGGCTGGAAGCGACTGGGAATCGGTGTGACTTTTAATTCTTTCTTTCAAACACATCACACTTATCTACCCTGTAACAAAACAACGACAGGATACAAAATGCAATTCGCTCCGTAGGGGTGGTACCTCCGGGCGCCAAATCTGGAGACGTGCGCCGTCCCTCCGAGGTCAACAAAAGTGTGTGGTACTTAGAAAATAATCAGAAGAGGAAAACACAGCCTGGGAAAAGGCAAGAAGATTCCTAATGGCTGGAAAAATAAAAATAAGAGAGAGAGAGAGAGAGAGAGATAAAATTAGAAGAGCAACATAAACACAGAGTCACTGGGGACGACCTGTGCCAGTCCTGCGGGCCCCGGGTCCCCGGGGCCTGGCCGGGTGGCCCGGCCGGTTAGAGCGGCGCCACCATCCGCCAAGGCGGCCCCAGGTCAGCACACATACAAGAGCCAACCAACGATGCATCAGTCAGTGGAACACAAATCAGTGTTTCTCTCTCTCTTTCTCTCTAAAAGCAACAAATTAAAAAAAAACAACCAACCAACAGCCAACCGTCTGCGGAGCCGGCAGAGCTGCCCACGCCCGAGCGCCCCCCGGCGGCCGTCGCGGGCATTGCTGGCTCCGACCGGGCGCGCCCCGAGGCGCCAAACGCGCCTCGGGTGGAGCCACGCGGCTGCGGCTGCAGAAAGGGATCCGGGGCGGTGCGACTTCGGAACGAGGGTCCACGTTCTCGCCAGGCCTCTGCCTGCCCCGTGTCACCTCCGCCCGCTCACGCTGTGAACCGGCCGTGGTGGCGGGGGCGACCTCCGGCAGCTGACGGCCGGTCCTCGGGCGCAAGTGGCCGGCGAGCGCTGGGACGCGGCCCCAGGGTCCGGCTGAGCAGGCAGCTGCGCGACTCCCGGCGGGACCAGCCCCGTGGTGCTCAGACTCCCGACCCGCGGAAGCCTGGCGACGATAAATGCATGTGTTTGAGGCTTCATAGTTTGTGGCACCTTGTGTAGCAACAGAAAACGCACACTCTGGCTGGGGTTCTGCTGTTTAAACTGGACTAGTTTCCTAAAACGAATCAGGAAACTTCTCTCTTCTTCTGTGGCCCCGATGGAACAGACGAGGACGCAGGGCTCTTTGGAAGTTAGGATTTGGCTGCGCGCCCTTTTTGTCCAAACTTTGGATACCTTTCTAGATCTGCGATTCTTGTCTAGGGACGTTTTCAGCTTCTTTGGGAGGCCATTTTTTAAAATCCTCACCTGAGCACATGCTCATTGATTTTTTTAGAGAGAGGGGGAGGGTGGGAGAAAGAGAAACACGGGTAGGTTGTGTCTCTCATATATGCCCCGACCGGGAATCGAACCTGCAACCCTTCGATCCACAGGACAACACTCAACTGAGCCACACTGGCCAGGGTGACAATTTGTTTTGTTAGGATATCACCTGTCTCCTGTAGGGTTTCTTTCTTTCTTCTTTTTTGTAGAGTTCAATTTGTGGGTTTTTTGTTTATTTGTTTTTGGTCATAGAGTTATATACATTATTTTATAGAATTCTTTTGACCATTCCTGATTCGGGGGTTGTCTTTCTTCACATTCCTAGATCTTGTACACTTTTCTTAATCAGGTTTATCAGGTGTTTTGTGCATTCATCTTTTAAAAAGCAGCAGCCTTTAAAAACCTTAGCTTTTGGGGGACAGTTTCATTCTTTCCACTATTTTTCTTGTTGATGGATTGAACTCCTATCTTCTAAACTGCCTACTTTCCTGGTTTATTTTGTTGGTCCTACTTTCCCTTTTTTTCAGTATGAGGAATCCAAAACTAGTTTAAACTATATCAAGTCAGGATGAAGCTGGTATCATTCACTGGCCCAAGACAACTCCTTGGCCCTTCCCCGCGCCGGGGCACACCCCTTTCTGCGGCATTTGCAGCCTCCCCGCCTCCCGGCGCGCTGGTCGGGGCTTAGACAGCAGCACAGGAGCGGCTGTCACTGAGAGGAGACGCCGCGCGGTCGGCAAGGCTTGGTAGAGTCTCCGCAGGACCCTGCGGAACAGGAGCCGCTTCCTCGCCCCGGAGACTGAGACTTGGAGACGGCCGGCCTGCCACCCGGTGACTCGTTTCCTGGGAAAGACATCAAGCGAAGGGCACTCTCTAACCCCCTGGAAGAGGAGTCCTCAGCCATTTAACCGTGAGTGGACATCTACCCTGACTGCAGACCCCAAAACCTCCTCCAGGACAGGGCGCGGCCGACGTCATAAGCAGACCGCGATTCCAAGGCGGGGACAAGGCTGCAGGCCCGTGGACTGACCTTGGTGGCTTCCTGTGTCCGTGCCTTTACCTGTCTGCCAATGACATTGGCCGCAGTCATAGTTAGGCTTGTTTTTGGGCTTTTCTACATAGTCCGGCTGTTCCTGACGACCGAGGGCGTGCAAGAGAACGGCTAATGCTCTTCCTGGCTCGTGGAAAATACAGGAGGAGATGGAAGGCGAGACCCACCCGTGACAGCTCACAGGGCAGGGACGACCTACCGCTGTTTGTCGGGAGGAAGGCCGTACAGCCTCACGCCCTGCCCTGCCCTTCCTTCCGCTTTTGGGAAACAGCCTCAGCTTGAGCAGCGCACGCGTGAGCAGCCCAGATGTGTCTGAGAGTCAGCGCAGCACCCCTGAGACCCACTGTGGGTCCCCCGGGGGAGAGGCGCCCGTCTTCCTGAGCGGTTCTGGTGGCCATTTCCGCGTCGGTTCTGATCCAGCACACTTGTCCCCTGCACACTCTCACCGGAATGGGACCGCCCACCCGCCTTCCGGACGCACTGAAGGCCGAGAGTCTAACCAGGATGTAGAAACAAGGCCGAAGGGCCAGACAGGAAGCACACAGCCCTTGGGGTGGCTCTGCCGCCGGCAGCGCCCGAGGGACCGACGCTGCGTACCCTCGAGGGTCACGCGGGCTTTTCTCCGGGAGAGGAGCCTCCGTCCGCAGCGGGTCCGCGTCCGCTGCCGCCACTCGGCTCAGCACCTACTTTCAACACGCCGGTGCCTGGATTTTCGACCTTCAAAGAAGTGACACATCTTTTATAATTTAAAAGAACTGTATTTAGTACGTAGTCCCCGTACAATTCGGGACACTATAAAAGCTCTCTGTAGGAGTCCACCTGCAGGGTGCCAACGAGACAGGAAGGCCACCGCCACGAGGGGGCGCCCGCCCACCCCCGCTGCCAGCTGTTCTCGGCCACAGACAGGCAGCGTCCTCCAGGGCACAGATGTGTGACACAGCAAGTCTCCGGGACGGCATTAACCAAGGTGTGCAGCCTGGGAACACTTTAGCATCTTCCCCTTCATTCCAAGGGTTAAAAAATGGAATATTTTGCCCCTTCAAGTAGGTTTTGGCCTAAGGGGAGCTAAATTTGTTGTCTTGGACCGAGTTCACGTGGAGGGGCACCCTGTCCCTGGCATCGGGCAGCGCCCGCTGACACAGCCCGCGGCGGGTGCCGCAGAGGCGGGAAAACCACCTTCGAGGGGCCGGCAAAGGCCCTGGATAACAGCCCCTTTGCTCTGGGCTGGTATTTCCGCAATGAATTCCTGTTGCTTAGAAGTCGGTGTCAGAAGCGACCGGAACCTCTCAGTGATAGTGGGGTCTCTGTAGCCACGGCGTCGGGCGTCCGCGGTGGGCCGCTGGGTGCATAAAGCAGGTTCCGGGAGGAGCCGGACCCCGGGCACTCAGCCCCTCGGCACGGGCCCCGGGGCCCCTCTGTCGGAGCCCAATCCCCCCAGCCCGTGTGGCCCAGGGGCCTCTGAACGCCTCCGGGTCCCTGCAGACTTTTCAAAAGTGGAAGAAGACTGACGTCGGTGTGGCAATCCAGGCTCAGAAATACTGAATTTTGTTTCCACAATATTTTATAATTTTCTCAACCACACCTAACGTAAAAGGAATTTTTACAAGCAGCTCAGCCTTTATGAAATCAAAGCACTCGTAGTAATTTTTGCAGCAGCAACCCTGTATTTTTACCCCCTTTTCCTCAGTTTACGTGACGTGGGAGTTTACAGTCAGCACAGGGCCCCCGGGGAGGGCGCGGGGCTGAGGTGGAGGGGCAGCCCCGCCCCGGCCCCCGCCCCCCCACCCCCCGCCCGCCTCACCAGCCGCGGGCCGGCAGGCAGCCGAGGGTCTGCGGAGGCTGCCAAGGAGCTGGTGGGCCGGCAGGTGGCGGGCTCCGGGGCGCTCACTCGGAAGCTAACCCAAGCGTTACTCTGTCCATAAAGACAGCCACCATGGGAGCGCATGACCCAGTAACCACGGCCACCGAGGTGTGTGTGTGGCTCAGGCCAGTCGAGGGCTTCGGGTCAGTGGGAGCCAGCGGTCAGCCCTCGCCCCGCCCGTGCTCTGTGAGAAACTCACAAAAGGGACCCCCAGGAGCCCTCGGGTGTTCGCATGACGCGTGGGGCCCGGTCCCCGGGAAGCAGGGGCATGTGCTGTCTGCGTCACGCCTGCGAAGCGGTGGTGCCTGGGCTCGTCTTGAGGGGTTTTTTGGGCACTTAACACTTTTCGGGAAGACTGAACACTGAGTGTGTCGGCCAGCACGACCCCGGGCTCTGAGCAAGGGTCTCTGCTGGCCACCCACAGGGCGAGGCCAGGCCTGAACACTTTGCAGACTCCAAATACCCAGATGCTTCGACTGACGCAAACAGGAATGTTTCACATCAATGGAACGATATCTGAGAAAATAACAGGATTTAACGATCGGACCCCGGAGTCCACTGCACGGGGCCGGGGGCATCTGGTGCTGGCTGAGGGGACAGCCGCCCCTTCAGACCTCAGTGCTCCCTGAGTGTTTACTACTCATCACCGCAAACCGCAAGGACACAGAGAAGAAGAAATTCAGGAGTCTCAGTTGCATAATTAATAAACCCAGCTGCTGCCAGTTTTTATTTAAATAAGTTTTGATAAAAGCCGAGTACCCTCAAGTCCAAAGGCCTGTCCAGCCTGCTGCAGAACACTGCTTGGTGAGTAGTGACCGCTCAAAGCCACCGGCGCAGCGGTAATTCACTTCCTGCAGCTGCGGGGCCCTCCGGGCGGAAGGCTGAGCTCCTCAGCCATCGTGACTTTAACCAAACGCACCACGTGCTTTTACCAGCAACTTTCACACGTCCCCGTCCTTAGGAATTACTTACGAAGGCAACCGTCAGGCCTTTGGGGCGGGCGCACAGAACGCTCTGGTCGTTGACAAGCAGGCAGGAGGGTGGGCTCTGGGTTTGGGCGACCAGAAGCCCAGCGCCAGGCCCTCACAGTGAGACCACGGCCGGGCTTGGTCGGAGGATGCTCCCTGCCAAAAATACTGTGCTAACGCGTTCGTGAAGGTACGATATTTTAAAAATATTCCGATTTTGCAAGGTTCTAGGCTGTAAAAAATACAAAGGCTAAAAACAAAACGTTTACAAAATTTTGCAAACCCAGTCCGTTTAAACAAGTAAGAAATAAAGAGATGTGACCTTTCTCGCAGGATCAGTTAAATGGAATCACAGGTGTTAAAATGGCAACACTGAACAGCGACCACACACGAGCACACACAGAGCTCCGCCCTCTAGACCTGCGGTGTGGACCCTGAAATTCTCCCGCGTCCAGCAGGAACACGCACAGGCACACGCAGTGCATGACGTGCGCCACACAGTACATTTCAGACAGAGCGCATTTAGTTACAAAGACCTAACATGATTTTGTTTGAAATATTAAAAGCATGATAATTGGAAAACATTATAAAATTTCTAGGTGAAACTGGGCAATAAAGAACTTTTAAAAAGCCACCAACTGGTCTTCACTAGTGAAATGACAGTCAGCGACGTAGTCCCGCGCCCACAACGCGCCGCGGCCGGCGCTGCCGCGAGTCGGCGGCGAGTCCAGAGGGTTTCAGGCCCTGCCCAGGCTGTGGGCTCCCGGCGTGAAGCGGGCTGCTCGGGCTGTCCCCGGCCACGGAACCCTCGGTCGCTGGGAGGAGGCCGAGAACAAGGAAGGGGACGGCTGGGCAGGCACCTGAAGACCGCGCCCGAGCGGCAGCGTCCGCATCCGGGCCTCCGAACGCCACGCGCCACGCGGTCTGCTGCGGCTCGTCGCGGGGCGCCACGCATGGACGCCGGGGACGGAGCAGGGGCTGTCACGGGCCCCTGGCCAGCCTGTAGACGTGGAAGGTCTTGTTCTGGAAGACGCGTGTGAAGAGCTTCGCGTAGGGCGGCAGGCCCCTCCTCACCTCCTCGCAGAAGCGCGGGTGGGCTGCCTGGCGCAGGTCTGGGTCGTTCCCACCGGGGCCGTCCATCACCTGGAGCCCAGACAAAACCCAGGGTGATTCGGCAGGAGGGAAGGGGCGCAAGCCCGCACCCCGAGGGCCCCCCGCGGCTCCTCTCCCAAGAACAAAGTCTGAGAGAACCCGCCACGGCCGGCCCGCCCGGCCCCCGGCCCCCAAGACGGCCTGGCTAGGCAGGGCCGTGCACGAAGCAGCACGGAGGCGCGCGTCTTGGGTCTGCTCCTCCCGAGCGGAAGACAGGGCTGTGGGCAGCTGTCCGCTGGGGCGACGGCCTGAATCTCGGGCTCGACGTCCTCGGCGTCGCTCGCGGAGGCGGAGCTGGCGGACAGCGCTGTGTGCGTTTCGGGGGCAGGCTGGCGGCCTGACACAGGCGCGCGCTGGCACGGCCCGGACCGGCTCAGCCAGCACGCCGGGCGGAGGAGGGGACGGGCGGCGGCACCGGGCGAGTGCTCGGGGCGCCGGGCCAGCGCGGGGCCTGCCGCTCACGACGACGCGCCGCACGCGGGGGGCTTTGCTCAGAGATTGGACCGGAAGTCGTCTGAATCCGGAGTTTTCCGCGGTGGAGTCTGGCCGGATCCAGGCCAGGCTCCTGTTTCCCTGCCCTGCGGCGTGAGCTGGCCCGACAGCACCCTGTGTCCGGTGGACAAGGGGGGCCCACAGGGGCAGCGGGGAGGCGATGTCGCCGCCGTCAGCCCAGCGACGCTTCAGAGCACAGGTTTTAACAAGGCGACGGTTTTAGCAGCAAAGCCTTAAATGGGAACCTCGGGCTCAACACCCCCAACCCGCCGGCTGCAGACGACCCGTCCGCCCTGACCTGGGGCACCGGTGCGCCCTCCCCTCCCCCGCCCAAGGGACACAGAGAAGAGGCCGATGCGCTGTCGCTCCGCGAGGCACAGAGGTGCCGACACCCCCAGGACCCCGGGGGGAGCCCGCCCCCCGGGACCTCGCGCTCACATGTCCGTTGGCCACGTCCAGCAGGTCCCGCAGCCGGCAGCCCCGCTGGTGCCTCCGCTCGTAGCAGATGCTGTCCTCCAGGATGACGTAGTCGGTGCCCAGGGCCCGCAGCAGGGCGTGGACCTCCTCCGGGGGCCTCTTCGCGTATATCTGGTAGACCTTCGCAACGCAGTGGACACGGGCGGGCAAAGCGCGCTCAGCTGCTGGGGCGTCCGCCGAGGGCGGTGCTGCAGCCTCCCCGGGCAGGGGGGCCTCAGCCCGGGCACCAGCTCCCCTCCTGGCCCCACGGGGGGCTCCCCTGAGCACTTCCACCCCACGCCCCCTCCCAGCCTGCAGGCAGGGGGTGCCCACGGGCAGGGGAAGCCCGCGGCCGGCGCCCGGAAGCCAGAGGAGGCGCGGTGCACACTTACCGCCTTGGTCCGAGCTCGCAGGCCGCTGTCCTCGTAGTGCGGGTGGTTGGTGAGGGTCCGGCCCGTGCACAGCTTGACTCCCGCCAGCAGCTGCATGCTCCCCGCAAACACTGCGGTCCCCGGGGTGTTCGCGCTGGAAGATTTTAGAGTCTCGATCACCCCACGGCTGGGTTTCTCACAGGCGACTGTGCAGGGGATGCCGCACAGCGTCAGCGCCGCCCTGCTGGGGGCGAGGGCCTGAGGCCGGAAACGCGAGGACAGCCTGAGACTCACTTGCCCTCAGTCTAGTTGACAAAATTTTTTGCAGCTGTGTTTGTCTGGGAAGCGTCTGACAGAGGCTCCAACGGGTCTGCCCCAGCAGTGCTCTGTGCTCGTCTCTGAGCCTTCCCCACACCCTGGGGTGGAGCCCACCCGCGCCCGGCCCTGAGGGGCAGGTTCTCGGGAGAGAGTGTGGAAGTTCCCCTTTGCTTTTTGGGTAAATGTAGCTGAAGGGCCGCCCACCGCAAAACAAGTCAGAAAGCTGAAAGCTGCAGGTGATCAGTCGCTTCTGAGGGTTTTTTGTTTAAAACAAGCAAAAGAGATCCCACAAATTGCTATAAACTACTTTTCAGAAAGAATCAGTGCAAACAAAGGAGCGTGGAGAGGAGACGCTGAGAGCCCCGCCCGCGCTCCCTCGGGGGTGCAGCGCCCTCCCGCGGAAGCAGGCGTCTCCAGAGGCCTCGCCTCCAATCCTGGTCACCGACGGCAGGGACTCGGGGCGCGCGGCCTCTGCCACCCAACCACGAGCCCGCTTCCCGGCACCAGAGCCCTGGTTTGGGGGACCTTCCCCCTTCCCTCACCCTGGGGAAAAGAATCTTAGTAGTTGACCTGACTCCCTCCTGTCGTTTTGAAACCTGGGTGTGACCCGCCCACTGGAGAGGTGTCACTGTGAAGAAGGTGCCCACAGTTGGCGCGCCCTCCCACGCAGACCTGCTGGCCCCCCTTAGTGGGTGAGGAAACCCCACGCTCGCCCGGGTGCCCGAGAGGGACTGGAGTCCATCGGAAACCGCGCGGCCCGCTCTCCACGGAAAGGCTGCTCCCGAGGGGAGCCTGCGGGCTCCCCCCACCCCCAGCCCGAGGCTGCTCCGTTTGTTCCAAGTTAACGCTCACCCAGCCGAGGCCTGAGGGGCCTACGAGTAGGATGCCCCGCAGTTCAAGAGGCGCATCTGCAAGCAGTTTACTCTGGAAAAGGTCAAGCTTTCCTTTCCAACAACGGACCTCGCGGGCGTCAGAGCCCACAAGGCGGGTTCCGGCAAGAAGCTTTCAGGGAGCTCGCCCGTGCGGGTGGGGGTCACTCTGACAAGCAGACCCAGGAGCCCAAGCCAGAGAGGTGTTCGCTCCGGCTCCTAACCAGCAATTTCCAGGGAGCCCTTGACATCTGCCCCCTGTGGGCAGGGGACCAGGAAGGTTCAAACGACCTGTAGAGGGAGGTCTACAGAAGCCCAGCTTGTTTGCTGAGGGATCACTGAACACCCTGTGGCCACGGCCACCCCTACTGGCAGCCACAGGCGCTCACGGCAGAAGCCGCATCGTCTGCCCCGCCCCTCCGTCTGCTCTGCACTGGCCTGGATCGGCTGCTGCCCTCTGTGTCCCGGACACCCCGGTTAACACCCCCGGGCGCCGCCTCTGGTCCTCTGAGCAAACAGGGCTGCCCGGCGGAGCAGAGACAGAGGGGGACAGCAAGGCCGCCCCAGCGCCGCAGCCGGACCGCCCAGGGACCTGCACAGAGCTGCCCGCCGGCGCCGCTTGCAGCCGAGGCACAGACGCAGCCTGGCCTCCCATCTGCCTGCGGCGTCGCGGAGGGCCCACTGCGCGCTGCCCCGGCCCAGCTGCTGGAGGCCACTGAGCAGTGCTCTCTCCGCCGTGGGCGGGCCCGCAGGGATGCTGAAACCAGACGCATCAGCACGCGCCGCCCCCCAGGACGCCCTGAGCGCACCGAGCCCCGCACCCTGTGGGTGGTGCTGTCCTGGGGCAGCGGCACCGCCAGGCACAGCGAGGTGACGTGTCACGTGACTGCTTAGACTTCTTGAGGAAGAAATGGAGAAGAGCTCGTGCAGTGGGGACACGTGCCCACGTGTGGCCTCGCTGGCGCGGGGAGGAAGCTCAGGAGCAATGTCTGCTGTCCGAACCGCGGGGGTCTGGGCAGGGTCTGGCCACAGTCTCCGGTCTTGTGCGGATGCCTGCAGCTGCCGCGGGACAGCCCGTCTGCAGACACCCCGGACGCCGGCCCAGCAAAGGCGACGCCTGTCCCCGGGGCTCGGCCTGGCCTCTGTCCCAGCCCAGGGCACGGCTGACGCAAAGGTGCAGCAAACAGGCAAAGTGGAACTAAATGAGAAATTCACACAGTTTCTCAACTGCAGACACCGAGAGCCACAGCGTTTTACATTTCCTGCGGAAAAGCTCTCGGGCGCAGGGCGGGGACAGGCCTGTGTCTAGGACGGACACAGGCTCCTCAGCACCGCACGGTGCTTCTCCATTAGAGGAGAACAAGGCCACCTTCGCTGACGTCTGAGCGGGCGGCGCGTAGAGCGCAAGGGCGACTTGGCCCCATTGCTCTGTCAAGCTCCGCAGCAGCCGCCCGACCTGAACACAGTGCATTCTGGGAGGAGTGCCACTCAATGAGACAGGGCCCCCAGGTCGGATGCGTTTACATGATGTGATTTACGTGTCATTCCAGAAAGGCCTGGTGGCATTTTGAGCAAATACTCTCATTTATTTTTGAAGCTTGAAGCCCCAACAAGTAAACTGCTGTTGATCTAACAGATAAACTGTACATTACTGTGAACATTTGCTTTATCTATACCTCAAAAATATATAGAATTATGGAAATACTACAAAAAGACTCATTAAACATGAAAGTGGTTTCTAGGCATTTAAGGTCTGAACTTAACCTACCTCATACTTAAAATATACAGAGCAGTTCTTTCTGCTTTGATTAAATGCAAAGGAAATTTGGTCCATTTTCTTAGTCTCGATATATTGAGAAAACATTGTGCACACTCTCCTCACCGGGAAGAGGCCATTTCTAGAAGCCAAGCAGCTAAAACGTCACACTTCAAAATACTCAAACCCGCAGGTCTCTGAGCTGTCCGGGGACCAAGAAGAACTCCAGCCACCAAACACTCTAAGGGCACAGGGGGACCAGGCACCCCCGCCCAGGCTGCGCCTTGTGACGCGCTTCCTGACACGCCAGACCCGTGGACGTGCCCCCGGGCTTTGCCAAACGAGGTGTTGCAAAAACCCCGGGTTCTGGGGCTTTACAGGCAGGAGACACCATCAGCCGGGGGGTGAGGAGGGACACACACAGGCCAGGGTGCTGGGGACACGCGTGGGGGCGCGGGGCTCGCCCGCGCAGGCAGCCTCCTGGTCCTCCTGGGAGGAGCCCTGGGCCCGAGGCCCCCCAAGGTCTTCGCCCTTGACGAAGAAATTTAATCCCGAAAGATTCTTGGTTTTGTCCTTAACGTAAAATCTCTACTGCTCTAAGGAACTAAAGAGCAAAATGCACAAAACATTCTCTAAGAATTAGGACGCTGAAACTTCTTTCCACTGACACGGGTTAAGCCTCTCACTGTCTCACACGCGATCAAGAATAAGAATCTGTATAAAGCCCATGGATTTTGCCTGCAGACGCGGGCCGCCGAAGGCCGCCCTGCACACACGGGGCCCGGGGCCGGGCACGGGGCCAAGAGGTGGGGTTTTGCTGGCGGAGGCGGTTCGTTCAGGAGGCTCGCGTGCCGGGGCCCCACTGAAGCGCCAGGTGCCCGTGCAAGGGGAACGCCGGCCGCCTCCCCCCGCCCCAGGGGCTGCGCCGCGGGTCCTGCGCGCTCCAGGCCCGGGCGCCGCGCAAGGGTGGCCAGCGCGTGAGGACGGGCGCGCTGCGGGGACCGGCGGCCGGAGCCCCTGCCGGGCCGGGGCCGCGCGGGCCGACGGTGCTGGCACAAGAGGCAGCCACCGGCCCCGCCTCACTCGGCGTCCGGGCGGCCTGCCCTCGCGGGCCCCGGGCTGCGGTTCCAGAGCGCAGTTCTCGCGTGAAGGAAGCTAGTTCCGAACACAGAGCTTTAAAGAAACCTTGAGAATGAGTGTCTCTCCGCAATTAGGTTCAGCAAGAAGCAGAGGACACAGACCGGGAGTCTGCAGAGACGCTGGAAAGGCACCGAAAGTGAAAAGGGTAAGAAAATCCTCTTACTTAATCCAGTCCATCAGCTCCACTGTATCTGGGTCATAGAATTCCCTCAACTCGGACAGCTCATCCATCATTCCTGGCCAGAACTGAAATTAAAAACAAAACAAAACAAAAACAAAATCCGCCCCACACCCACCGCCGTCGCTAAGGTGGAAGGGACAGGCGGGCCTGCCCCTGCGGGTGAGCAGGGCGCCCCGCAGTGGGACCCGGGCCTTGGCCCCGCCGCCCCCCACTCTGCGGCCGGGGGAGTTGGCTGACGCCTCGGTTTCCAAGATCAACTTGCGTCAAAGCTAATTCTGACTAGAGGTGCTGCCGACGTCTTAAAATGAGCTTTTGTTTTACTCAATAAAAATGCTGCTGTTAGAATCTAGTGGAACGTTAATTTGGAGAGAGGAACAGTGACCATGACAAAGTTCACAGCCTACAGGAAGCTCTAAATGTGACCCCACGCCCTGCCCTCCACGCCGGGTGCGCCCGGAAGGCAGCAGCGCGGGGCGGGGCGGGGGCCGCAGGCACGCTGTGGGGGCCGGGCACACGGGCTGCAGGCGGCCTGCCGCGCCGTCTGCCGTCCTCGGGAGCCGCAGGCCCCGCCCGGCCACGCGGGGCAGAGTGCTCTCCAGGTCCAGCCCCTTTGCTGCGTCGTGGGGCCGCGGGCCACTCTTGTCCCAGAAGTCTGGGCAGCCAGTTTGCCTCTCTCACCGCCACTGCGGGTGCGATGGCAGGAGGGCCCCTGCGCCGGGCTCTCCGGGCCACCGGGCGCGTCTGAGTCCGCGCGTCCGCTGCGGGCACTGCCGGCCGCCCCGGGTCCCCACGGCTGTGCAGACGCAGGCGGGGTCCCCGCCGCTCTGACGGGGCACGTTGAGCACAGCGCCCGGTCCAACGTGGGCGGTTCGAGCCCGTGACTGGGAGGCTCCGCCGTCCGCACCGCCCTGAGCGAAGACCAGGGCTCCTCGGCCGCCTGGGCCACGGCCCCGCGCCGCTGACAGGAGGCGCCCTGCCCCTCTGGGGGGCAAAGCGGGCCACCGGGCACCGGCACCTCGAGTTCCGGGTTCCAGACGAAGACAGACCCCGGCTCACGCAGTGCCTGCATCACGTCCGGTCCCCCGTCACCCCCGGGACTTCGATGGTCAGTAGAAATCAACTTTCTGCCCCCGGTTGGTGCGGCGCAGTGGACTGAGCGCCGGCCTGCGAACCACAGGGCCGCCGGGTCGACTCCCCGTCGGGGCACAGGCCTGGGCCGCGGGCCAGGTCCCCAGCAGGGGGCGCGCAAGAGGCGACCACACAGGGATGTCTCTCTCCCTCTTGCTTCCTCCCTTCTCCTCTCTAAAAGTGGATAAATAAAATCTTAAAGAAATCAACTTCTTTACGGTACGTTCTAATGCTTTTGCCATAAAACATTTTTAAATCTGTGAATTCAAGGGATATGACATATTTTTTTTGTTTGAAAGTGGCTGTTACTAATTCTGAAAATGTTAACATTTAGTAACATAGTCTTGTGGTCAGTCTTTAACCAATGGAAAGGTAAGTGTTGATGTAACTAAATGTTGTTTCTACATGGTCCACAGTAGTTTCTGTGACGTTTTAACAACCCAAGCACGTTACCAACCTGGGGGTAAAACTACTATTAAAGACTCGAGTTTGGAAGGGAGACTAGTAAATGCGCTTCCCTCCCGACGGGGTCCCCTGAAGAGACACGGAGCAGCGTGAGCACCAGGGACACGAAGCTCGGGAGCTGCCTCGGCTGCCCGTATGGCTCCGGTCGGGCTGCGGAAGGCGGGCTCACGCCGCTGCCAGGGAGGCCTGCTCAGCGGCAGGCCGGCGGCCGCAGGGAGCCGCGCACGCACACGCCGCCTCGGTCCTTGAGCCTCGTGCCGCGCGGGCACGCGGAAGCCGAGCCAGCTGCCCAGCCTCCCACATGGGCCTCTCCTCCGCCGGGTGCCGGCACAGGCCCGGCTTGTGGGCCCCTTGGACGGGCGGGGCAGGGCCTGCCATGGGCGTGCGGGCGGAGGGCTCTGCCCCCTCGCGCGATGCCCCGCCCTCCCCGGACACGCCCAGATATCCGCACACGTTTCTGGTCGCCCCAACGGGAGACAAGGTCTCTGGCGCGCGGAGGCTGGGAGGCTGCCAGGCCAGGACGCCCGGTGCCCAGGGGCCCTCGCCAGCTCGGCCACGCAGAGGGCCTGACCGGGCAGCAGCCCAGCCGTGGGGCCGGGGACCCAGCTCGGGGCCACAACCAGAGCCTCTGGTTCAGCAGGTCAGCGACCCAGAGCTCCGAGGGTGGCTTCTCCCCGCTACCCCGCCCTTCCCCGTCGTATCAACAACAGGTGACTTGAGTCCCCACCCAGGTTCAAAGGGACCAGTGCGACTTGAAGGAAGGGGCTCCCTGCGCAGAGAGTTGGAGGTGAGGCCGCCTCCCGCCCCGTTCGGCCTGCGTCTGCCCGACCCTTGGCGGCGGCTGCGGGGGAGTCCGCCAGAGTCTCGCCGACGTCGGAGCGGTCCCCAGGGTCCCGGGGAGGGGGAGGAGCCACCTCGTGCTGGGGTCCCAGGGCCTGGCCCGGGGCTCTGCCTGGGACAGCGAAGGGTTGGATGGAGAGGATCGTGACCGAACATAGTTTTTCGAAGTATTTACAATGCAATCATCCAACACAGCGATTATCTAACTTTTTTCCCCCTAAGTCCTTTGCTTAAAATAGAATCTTATGCGAACACATAAGCAAGTGAACCCCAAGTTGGGCTGCCGTGGCTGACCCCCTCTGTGGGGGGCCGCTCCCGCCAGGCGCCTCCCAGACCGCGGCCTACGCGCAGGACCGCTTGAAATCCAGTTCTGATTAAAGCAGAGTTTGAAGAAAATCATCTAAACTTAAAAAACACATTCGTGTTTTTTTTTTTTTTTTTTTGAGAGGCTGAGAGTTCACTTGGATCAAGCAGTCTGGGCTACCTGCCCAGGTGACAACTGGAGCCTCTCACCCGGAAGATGTGACCGAGCGTCACAGAGTCGCTGACGCGGCTGACGACCCGGGGTCTTGGGCTGGAAGTGCCGCCAGTGCCAAGTCAGAAACCAGCCACCTGACAGGACAAAGTCGCAGCATTTTCTCCGGAGGGAGGGACGGGCCAGGCCAGGCCAGCGCCGCCGCGGCTGCTAAGCTCAGTCCGTGCAAAGCGGGTAACAGGGAAAACAACGTTCCTACTTTATTCACCTCCAACAGGTCTGGAAACATCTTTATTTTCAGAATTTGCATCAGCTGAATAGTAAGTCAAAACCAAGATTAACTAGAATGATTAAGCTGTAGTACTTTTTGCCATGTTTTTACTTCTTAAATGCCACTTGGGGGACGACCGGTCTCCCCACCCACGCGGGGGGCACCTGAGACCTGCGCAGTGCACCCCGCCTGCCGGCGACGGCTGAGGTCGCTGGGCCGAAGCACACGCTGCTGCGTTGGTCAAGGACAAGAAGGAGGAAAATCCATCTTACCTTATAGCACAGACAGAGCAGTATTAACGTCGGGACTGAATACCGCATTACACACATCTACGTAAAAAAGACAACAACATTTAGATTACAAGCGTTTTCAACGCTTTTGCCTCAGTTTTACTCTGTAAACATGACTTTTTTAAAAACAACAGAAATTTATAGTTAAGGGGGCGTTTCCCGGAGCCTCTGACACGTGAGGCAACCAGGCAGGGCCCGGTCGCTCTGCAGAGCTTGTGGCTCCAGTGCACTGCCCCCCGCCCCCCGTGCCCCTGGGGAGCAGGACAAGGCAGACCACGTGCTCACTGGTCACTATTTTTAGGACAACACGCTGTCGTTACAAGTGGTAACTCTGGACAATGGGATTACTGGGGATTTTTAAATTTTCTTTTTGTGCTTTTCAGTATTTCTAAATTCTGTATAATGAGCATATCTAATTTACGGTCTGGAAAAAGATGATTAAAAAATGAAATTAAAAATAAAAAAAATTCCTCATAAATCACACTGCATCAATGATCTACTTTTTCGCTTCGATCCCGGTATCAGTTTGATCAGAGGGGTGTGTGGGCGGCCGCCCAGTAACCGGGGGGCCGCGGGGGCCGCACTGACCCGCGCCGGGGTGTACAGGCGGGCGGCCCTCAGGAGCGGCCCCCACACGTCCGCGCTGCACAGGCCGGAGGCTGCGAACACGCACAGGTGCGGCGTCCACAGGTACTTCATCCTGCAAGGACACGGGCACAGGTCAGCCCGAGCCGGCGCCCGTCAGACCGGGCCCGAGCTGTGCCGAGACCCCGCCGCAAGCCGGCCGTTGGCGCCACTGCCGTCCGACGGCCACCGGGGGGAAGACGCAGGGATGTTGCTAATGAGGAAAACCCTGGTTATCAATGAGGTTTTGTTCTGGGAGAAAACAGCAGACAAAAGGCGTTTTATGGGAACCATGGTCATTAACGGAGATGATGTTAGTCTCCAATTTTACTGCTAAATTATGTCAGGTAAAGAGTGGCTGAAGGAAAGGATCAATCAGACAGAATCAGACCGATCAGACAGAAATACCTCATGGTGCTCAGTGCCAAGAATCCAAACAAAATGGTGTGTATTAGGTGGTAGGCAGTCTCTGGTCTCAGGTGGAGGGTGCCGGGTCCCGTCCGACCCGGGGCGGGCTGGCCTGGGGACCCCCTGCATCGAACGGCACACGCACCGGTCAAAGCTGCGTACGGGCTTTTGATTTAGTCAAATCTTTTTAGAAGGAGACACAAGGAGCTTATGCTTTCATATATTTAGAAACGTATTATTTCTCTAAGATAAAATAAATCACCATTGACCATTTTAACTTGTTTATGAGGCTCAAGGTATCATAATATAAGTGCAGCAATAAGTAGAAGAACTAAAATTTAATAAATGTCAATTTAACGTAAGTAAAAATATAAAGTGCTTCAATCCTTTAAATTATAAGAGAAGAGCAAAAGAAGTCCTTTTGAAATCACGGAAACTAAGAGATCTAGGGAAATGTTTTATAAGTTACCAGTGCTTGTCAAGCTTTTACGAATGAGAAAAATAAAAAATGTGTCCATAAGCTTGGATTTCCGTGTCTCTGTGGACCAAGGACCGCCCTGTACGCCACTGACCCCCCAACCCCGTGTGTGTGGCAGACGTGTCCCACCAGCCACGCCCACGCCGGTGGGTCGCCACGTCCCCTTGGCGGTGCGGCCGGTGAGTGGGGAGAAGGACGCGGCAGAAGGACCCGCTTGGAGAGAAAGCGACACTTTATCAGCCCCTGGGCCTCGATGCTGCTCTGACGGGGAAGCCCAGTCGCCTGGGGTCCCTTCGCCTTCCTAGACTCACAACAAAGTCACAGTGACGCTCTAAGGGGCCCCCGTCCCCCTGCCTGGACCCCCCTGAACGCCGGTGCCGCACCCCCACCCTGGCGCCCACGGGGGCTCAGGCCTGGCTTCCGACGGCCGCGCACCTGAGGTTGCGGAGCGCGGCCACCAGCGCGGTGGGCGCCGTGACGCCCAGGACAAACACGTGGGCGTGGAGCAGCAGCGTGTCCGACAGCCGCCCGAAGGTGTTCAGGGGCAGGAGGCCGAAGGCCTCTTCACACAGGTACAGGTTGGCATCGAAGTCCCTGGGGGCAAACGGAGAGCCACGGTGAGCTTCAACGGCAGAAAAGTACACTTTTTTCCTCAAACTGAGCCTGAAATTAACAGCTGAAGGTGCAATCATAACTTAACTTTTAAAGTCTTTGCTGATTTAATATAAAAAGTAAACCTAGATTTTATTTGTTTGTTCAAGAAAAAAAATAAAAACCCCCCAACATTTTAAATCTAGTCATACCTTGTTGCTCCGAAGCCGAATTTCGCTTTCAGGAACTTAAATATGTGTTCATCCGACTTCAGGCTGAGAACCGTCTGTTGGGGAGGGACAGGCGGCAGCTGCTGTCAGTGCCTGGCAGGGCCGCGGGGCCAGCGGCAGGCGCGGCAAACGCGCAGAGTGGGCCTCCAGCTGGAGATTCCCGGTGTCCCCGCGGTTCCTGGGGGAGCAGACGCTCTGCTCGGATAAGGCTTGGACGCCCACTGAACCGCGTGCGGGTCAGGGGTGCAGCAACAAGGGCCTGGGGGGCGCTGCTTCCCGGGCAGGGAGCAGGCGCCACGTCCGGAGGCGCACGGCTTGTCCGGAGACCGGCCTCCGGGGCAGCAGGGTGGCCTCGGGCAGGGGCGTGGTTCTGACGGTCCAGCCGGCTCATTTATTAACCTAACCCAGTACAAAGCATGCCGAGCTGTTTTCTTAGCTCCACGGTGCAGAAAACGATCTCCAGAAATACTTGTTTAGTGCTTTTAAAGCTGAGCTTCTAAAAAGTTTAATAACTCAAAAGGTGAGTTCAAGGTAGAACACATTAAAGAGTGGATAGAAAGCAAGGGCTAAAATCAAGAAAACAATCCTATTGCCAAAACAAGTCAAAACTGAGCCCACTTGAGGTAAAACTGGTAACTCTTTATCATGAGACAGTAAATGCCATTTTGTTAACCTACCTTAATGATGTTATTGAGCAGAAATGTCAAACATAAGACCGCAAGTACGTGTAGTGACAGTTTCCTGAGCCTGGTAAGGAAGTTTCCAGTTTTCAGATTTTTCTAGAAATTAAAAGAGTTGAGTTTTAATTCTTAAACTTTACTATAACTTCATAAACACTTAAGATTACTTAAGGATTTAAAACGCTGGGTCATGCAACATACAGGGAAGACATGTGGAAAATGTAAGCTACAGATTTTCCTAAGTTTGCCTTGTTTTAATGTCTGCAATTTTCTGAAACTAAATGAATCCTTAATAAGCAGCCCCATAAAAAAGGAAAACGTGTTCTTTGCGACCAGAGTGCGGAGCCGGCCCCTTAGAAGGTGCTCAGGGACGCCGACCGAACAAGCCCTCCGGCCCCTCCCGCGCGAGCCCACGAGTCGCGGACGCAGCTGGCGCGCCGCTGGGGACAGCCGGGCCCGGGGCTGCCCCTCGTTTCCTTCCAGCCCTCGGGTAGCTTCGCAGGTGTTACATGTAAGAGCATCTGAAAGGTTCCTTGCTTACAACGAAGGCTGTAAGGATGGGCAGGCGCTAAAGTTCCTGACAGACGACTAAAAGCCTGTTTCTAAAAATCTCTGCGAGTTTGTCAGTAGCAGCTGTCACAAGAGACTAATAAGAAAAAGGGTTTGTTCCTCCCAAAGCAGAGAACAAAACGCCTCCTTGGCAGCAAAGCGTTCATGAGAAGTGTTTCTCAGGTGCTCATGCGAGAGACAGCAGGCTTTGTGACACTATGAAGGAAAAACCGCTGGTCCTTAAATCTCACGTAAATTTTTAAAACTCTAATTAGATGAGTCAAAAGATGGGGGCACGGTGTTCAAACACAAATGCACTAGGAGATGTCCCGTTATTTCCAAAGGTATCTATTTGGATTTCTAAGAGTTAATTTTAATTCGCTGAAAAGCCAGTCACAATGTGCGGGAGTGGGGGCAGGAGTGGGGCGCAGGGGTCCCCGGGGGAGCCGGTCAGAGCGCGCCCTGCCCCCAGCAGCTTTTCCCTCTGGTCAAGCACAGGCGGGAGCTGAGAGGTTTTCTCTGCGGTTTCAATGTTATTTTTTATTTTTTTAAAGGTCACTTTATAATTTTTTTAAAAAGATTTTTATTTATTTATTTTTAGAGAGGGGAAGGGACGGAGAAAGAGAGGGAGAGAAAGATCCAAGTGTGGTTGCATCTCCCGCGCCCCCTGCTGGGGACCTGGCCTGCCGCCCAGGCCTGTGCCCCGACGGGGAATCGAACCTGCAGCCCTTCGGTGTGCAGGCCGGCGCTCAGTCCGCTGAGCCGCACCGGCCAGGGCTGTGGTTTCAACTCTAAATCCACGGCATTCAAGCAGGCATCTGTGCTTAACCGCTGAATCGAATGAAGAGTCCAACAGGAACACTAACCATGGACTTCCAAAGGTGAAGGTTGCCCTCCTGGCTTTTTAGTGGGAATTTGCTCGCACGTGTCCCTTCGTGTGTCGCACGAAAAGAAGGCCCCACAAACCACGCTATTCACAGAAAAACACAGACAAAGAAAGTCCTACCTGAAGCCTTCTCACAGTTAACACTGAGAGGTTAAAGCTGATAAGCAGCGATCCAAGAATCATGGAATTGAAGAACTGAAGGGCGCAGACCAGGAGCAAAGCCGCGACCTGAATCACGTACAGCCGTGTCGCCTGCAAAAGCCAAGAAGGCCGCCTGAGGCCGCAGGTCAGGGGATGTCCACCCGTCTCAGCTCCCCGATGCGCAGAGGACACGCCCACGCGGAGCAATGCAGCGAAACAGGGGCCGGAATCTCCTGCTCCCGTCTTCTTTACGAGGGGACACCTGAGGTTTTGGAACATTAACTGAAGGGGAGACAAACTGGACGCTGCGAAGCAGGGGAGGCAACCGCGCTGTGAGCGCATCCGGGAAACGGGCCAGGCCGTTCGCCCCTGCGGTGTCCTCCTCGTTTTCCTCCTGTCGCGGCCGGCGGCCGGCGGCCAGGGTGCCTGGTCGTGTCCCCTTGCTTCCCCGCCGCAGGACCCCGCCAGGCACTGCTCCATCGTATCTGTGTGCGTGCGCATGCATGCATGTGCATGCGTGGTTAATTCCCCAGGGACTGGAAACCGCCCGGGAGCAGGCACGGTGTGGCACCAGGGACACGCTGGTCCTGGCGGCAACCCGCCGTGTGGCCCCTGTGTGGGGGCCGGCTCGTCGGGAAGGCGGGGACGCTCGCGCCTGCCTCGGCGCCGTGGGCCCGGCAGGACCAGCGGGGGCGGCGCATGGAAGTGCGTGTAAGCGGCGCTGGTCCGGGCAGCTCTGGGTGAAGACTGAGGGAAGCGAGACCCCGCCCACCTGGACACAAGAAAATGCCTCAAAGACAACAAGAATAACGAGTGGGCGTCTTGGTCATCTCTTTCCAGTTAGACCATTCGGTACTCACGCAGGCTTGAGATCGGGCCAAGGGCGGGGCACAAGGGGGCAGGAGGGCTGTGGGCTGTTTTTGGTCAAAAACGGCTAAGTGCTCAGCGCGGCGCGGGCAGGTGCACTCCTACAGCGCCCATCGTGAAACGGGCGAGTGCGCTGCTCGAGTCTTCAAAGAACACGCACCGAGGCCGAACGCAGCCTCTCACAACGCCGGCTGGTGCACGGACACGCGTGGGTTCCTACAACACTCACTGCGGGGAGCCTGGACCACAGGGGCCAGCCCTCTGGGAGGTAATCCTGCCTTCGCTCTTGGGCCCCTCCCCGTACCACCTAACGCACCGTGAGCAGCAGAGGAGCTCGGACGGCCCAGTGAGGCCGCGTGGCCTCCAGATCGAGCGCCGCATTCCCATGAGCTGCAAGCAGCTTCAGCCTCATCGCTGAGTACACGCGTGTCCTGCCCCTTCCACGGCCGCCGCCGCGTGCAGCAGGGACCGTCCCCACCGAGCGGCCGGTGGCGCTCACCTTCTGGGCCGGCAGCATGTCCAGGGAGTCCAGGACGAACAGCCCCAGTGCCTGCAGCAGCATCGTGAACTGGTTGAACTGCCACGTCAGGCTGAAGACAAAGGTCGACGTGAAAATGGCAAGAAGGGTCAGCCTCTGGGGAGAGAAGACTCTGCGTGACTGACCTAGGAGTCACCAGCAGTAAAAAGCCCTGCAGACAAGGTTTTGAGAGTGGCCAGATCTCTGTAACCGAGTAGGAGAGCCATACACGGTTGCTCTGAAAACTGTTGCATTTGTCACTTAAGCTCTAAATACCCCGAAGGGCGTGCGGCACGTAAACGCTCACACGTGGCGTGCGAGCCCCACCCTGGGACAGAGGCGATGACCTGCCAAGTCACATCACGAGAGCCCTGGCTCCAGGAATTCTGACAGTTTTGCAGAAACTGTGGGTTTGCTGCAGCTATGTAAGGGCATGTTCTGTAGAGTACATTTTAAAGAACAAAAAAGAAACCATTTTCTTTGCAAATAAGGAAAAGACTCAGAAGGAGACTTCACTTCACTTAAAACACTGAGTCGCGAACCGAGGCCTGTGCGCAGGCCTTGGGAGAGCGTACACGTCACCACGCCCGAAGTCTGGATGCAACAGGAGACTAAACACGCAGGAAGTTTCCTAACAACTTACTTCAGACAGAGGCCGCAGGTTCGGTCTCAGGAAGTGCGTGACAGCCGCCACCTGGACCGCGAAGAAGGGCAGCGCCCAGTTCTCCCGCAGCGGGACGGTGAACTCCACCCTGGTGGTGTCGAGTCTGCAGGGAGGACACAGGACCACCGCGCCCTTTGTGCCGGGATCACGCCCGGCGCCCCGGGGTGACAGCTACGCTACATCAAGGACACTGAGGTTCTGGTTCTGGGTTCTCGGGAATGATCTGTCCTCGCCACCGCCCGGGGAGCACGCAGCCGGCCCCGAGCAGAGCCGGACGTGCACCCACACACGTGCGGTCCAGGCGGTGAACCGGGGCTGCACACAGGCGCGTCCAGCCTGCCAGCTCCCCGCCCCCTGGAAGGTGGCCCCCGAGGGCACGCCCGGTACCAGGAACCATCCCACACGTCCTGGGCATTCAGTAAGTATCTTATTTACCCTTCACACGAACACGAAATTTGACTTTCGTTTACTCTTAGCAGGAATAATATGTTGGGTTCAGCCGCTGAGGCAGCACAACCCAGGGCTCCTCACACTCTGGGTTTGAATTCTGACCAACGCTTAGCTGTGTGCGTGTTGACACATGTATGTATGCCTTGATCTCTACATACACTCACACACACACTTACAAATAACAATGCACACATAAAGCATTCTGCTGAGTGCTGGGCGTACAGTAATCACTCAATAAAATTAAATAAAACGTAATGTGTTTAGGGTTATAAAATAAGTGTTAGAACTTGCGTTTGACTCTTAAGTCTCCTACTCAGCGCTGGTGTTGCTACTGTGGATCAGGAGGTCTTTCAATGTATCTTGAATATGTTTTTAAGAAGTGCTGTTTCATAATGCTCTGGTATTTAGAAACAGGTAATCAGGCAGGGAAGAGTCCCTCACACTTGTACGGCGCTTCATGCTGTGCCCCCCTGAGCTGCACACAGCCCCCTGCAGGCTGAGAGCGAAGGCGGTACCTGTCCCATAGGGATGAGGATGTGGCTGGAGAAACACTGACCACACAGCCACCTGGCAACAGAACTGGGTTATTACGAGCGACTCTCAACTTGCAGTTCAACATTCTGTTCCTCACTTGGAAATACACGAACGTGGGACTTTCTACCTTCCTAAATAAGGCAGTAAACGCCACTGGGCGAAGACCCCCACGCAAGCCAGCGGGGCAGAACGACTTTCTTTGCACCGGCAGCACAGATGCTCCACGTTTGCTCGCGCACACAGAGGGAGAGGGGCACACTGATCCCAGCTCACCTGTTGGCGACGTACCAGCAGGCGGCCAGCAGCCCCGCCAGCCACGTGCCGCTCAGGAGCCAGCTGGTGACGTAGAGGGCGGCCACGTACACGGCCTGCAGCCCGAACAAGGTGTAAATGTAGAAGTAGACAGGCTCCACGCGGTTCTGCGAAAGGGAGCAGTAACAGCTATTTGTTAGGGAAGCTCCGGCCCTCTCTCTGCCATGGAAGAAACACGACAGTGGACATGCAGTGTTTCTCAGGAGCTCGGTATCAGTTGCAAGCGCTGAGCCCAGGCCACTGCGAGGGCAGAAGGCGGAGGGGCCCCGGGGAACCTGGCCTCACTCCCTGGGCCTGTCCGTGCCGGACGCTGTCCAGCTCGCCGTCACTGGGAGCGGTCACTGTCGTTTGTAAATGTTCCCATGGCTTTTATTTCAGAGGTAAGGAAGGAGCGCTTACATGTTTCCACAGGAAAATATTTACTACCCCTAAGACTGCGCACATGTAGTATAAGCCAGGAAGCATCCCCATGCACAAAATGTCTTATGAAACATAAATGAAAAGCAAACTTCAGAGTGTCTGTGAAGCTGTTAGGATATGGCGGTTTCTATACCAATCCAGTTGAAGGTCAGAGTGACACCCGTGAAACGTCAACGGAAAAGGCGGACTTTGATGTTCACTGCCATCGACAGCTCCGCGCTGCGGCGGCGACGCACCTGTATGGGCAGCACTTTATATAGAACGCTGAGGAAAACCTCTTGGTAAATATTCATTCGTTGAAGGAGGTTAATTGTCCTCATAGATTCAGTTTTGTTATCGTGCATTAAGCCATGGAAACCTAAGGTCGATATTTGAAAAATGAGGAAAAAGAATTAAAATTACAATTATTCACCCACTCACAGGTCCTGTGGAACAGCCCCTGCTGCGGCCTGGGAGCCCCCGTACCCCGGCCCCCAGCCCCCAGCCCCCCAGCCCCCAGGCCAGGCGGACGGCGGGAACGTGGCGGGGGCGGGGGGTTCAGGCGCGCGCCCAGGCGTCCAGCAAAACCCGGAAAGTGGAAAACTCCGTCTGAGAGGTGGACCAGTGTTTTCAACAAAGAGTTATAAGAAAAAATGGAGAGAAATCCATAGATTAAGAGAAACAAAGAGACAGAGCAAATGATTGTGATGCATGGCCTTTATTTGACTCTCAAAAACACCATTAAAAACCTGTAAGACACGGAACCCCAAGGCCGGGTTTCCTGCTGCCCTTTTATCACTTCGAGGCTTCATGAAAGAGCAGCCTGAGCCACGGACACGTGAGCTGGGTCCCAGCGGCCGCTGAGAGGCAGACGCGCACTCTCCGCTGCGGCCGAGGTTCTCAGCCCCGGCCGCCCCGCGCGTCCCCTCGTGGGCCTGGCCACTCCGGGATGCGGAGGCTGAGTGACGATGTGGCTGTGTCCACACACCATCTTTTCCTTTCCTTTTGCAGGGGCGGGGGGGCCGGCGTGAGATCGGGCGGTGCCTGGCCCCGGGCCACGCGCCCCCCAGCCCGTGGCCAGAGCCCGGCCGGTCAGAGAGCAGGCAGTGGACGTGTGAGGACGGAAGGACGGGTGGGCGGACGCAGAGGCCTGACCTTCGGGAGCCCGCAGGGAGGGCGGCTCTGCCCGCAGGAAACCGTGGCCGGGGCGCACTGCACGCCGCCTTCCACAAACCCCGCTGGCTCCTGGGGAAGGCAGCTCCGCTCGGGCGGCCTGCCTGGGACCGACTACACCTCAGGCCCCCGGACAGTTGATGGGAAAAAGCCTTTGTACACCCTGAACTTCCAGCGAACAGACACAGGGGGCCCCAGGGCAGCCCTCACGTGGCTGCCGGGCATCCCCCCTGTGGTGGGTGCCGATCTGCACAGGGCCGGGCAGGCTGGTTTTTATGGCACAAGAGGAAAGACAACCAAACTCCCGTGTCTCTTATTGTGAGCAGTAAAAAGCATCACCTATGAAGAGCCCGTGTCACATGTCAGGTCGGGCACACGTGCACGTGTGGCCCAGGGTCCCCGGCTGCCACTGGCTGGAGTGAAGGTAGAGTCTGCGTCTGACGCTTAGAAACAGTGAAAATGGCGATCGCAAAACACAGGAACTCGTCGGGCACCAACGGGCAACTGCCATTTTCGTCTGTTATCAAAATGCCTCCTTTGGGACACGCCTTCCCCCTCCAGCAACAACCCCGCCCAGGCCCTCGTGAGCAGAGCCCAGTGCAGCCCCCAGAGGCCGCACACTGAGCTGGGGACAGAGAAGAGCCGGGAGGCAGGAGAGAGGTCCCGGGAAGTGTCACACAGCTTCTCCCGGAGCGGCACCGGCACCGGCACCGTCACGGGCGGCCTGCTCTTGAACAAGGAAAAGCTGCACAGGTCACAGAAGCCACCGCACAGGCGCTGCGGGGGCTCTAAGGTGCGCGAGGGTGACGGTGTGTCGGCCCGACGGGCAGCTGCACGGCGTCGGGGGTGCGGGGGGCTTACCGTGCAGGAGGCTGGGCGCCTGCAGCATCTGCTTGTAGTAGGAGTAGTACAGGCCGCACTCGGTCCGGAAGGAGATCTCCCGCTCCACCTCCTGCAAGGCAGGCAGACAGGCCTGAGGCGCACACGCCGCCGGCGAAGCCCGTCCGGTCGCTGCAGGCCCAGGGCGCAGAGCTACAACTTAGCAGGCGGACAAGCTCTGAACGCACAGCCGTAGGGGCTTTTGGCAGACGGCAGGGACAGGAGGCTGCCCACGGCCGGGCAGGCGCCATGGGGGGGGGGGCTTACTACACTGTCCCCTCTGCTTCTGCAGATGTTTAAAACTGTCTGTAACAAAGCATTTTAAACAATGGAGACAACGAGTTCCATTTAGTTGATGTTTCAGAGTTAATGTTTTTCTTGTATTTCACACAAATTAAGGCAAAAAAAAAAAAAACAACAACAACAAACCAACCACGCCGCCATTCTTACATAGTATTCGTGAGAGGAGACAGGACAGCACCCAGAAGTCCCCAGAGGAGCCTGCAGGCCCCTCCCCGTCCCCTCTCTGTAAAATCAAGCAGCATCTCCTCAGGTGTGGATAAAAAAAAAACCCAAATGAAAAAAACCTAATTGCATGAGACACCTGCCCAAAAGCCAACCATGTCATACGGGAGGAGCAATTCTCTTTGTGCCGCGGGAGTACGAGGCGTTCTCAGTGAAACGGGCAGACCGTCCACATGCGAGCTTCACTCCGAGAAGCGGAGAGGCGTTCCCGGAGGAAAATGGGTACAAGGAGTCTCAACTGCTCTTGCACAAAGAGCCAGTTTTAGAAGAACAATTAAAGCAACAGCTAATGGTTTTTATAAAATTTAAACCATTAACAAAAAATACGCAGGCAACTGGTAAGGAGGTGGAGAAGCTTCTGGAATAATCCCATTAACACGCTTAGATCTTGTATTTCTTACACACAGACGCATATATTTTTATGTATATGAAAAACATTATATAAGTGAACAAAGAATTATAACCCACGGCGTTACAGGCCTTTACACCAGGCTTCAGAAACCCCAGAGCCTGAGGGCGGTGCCCGAGGGGCGTCTCCACCTCCGCTCCGGGCCCCAGCCCGTCAGCGCCCACACGCCCGGCTCCCCGGGGCGGAGGAGACCTGGCTCTTCCGCGGAGCAGCCGCTTTGAGCACGTCTGTATTTCCCGCACTGCCCCCCATCTTCCAGGCAGGAATAAATGCTGCATTAAAAGGGCTGCTCCTGCTACTTATCTTCACACCCATGAGCCATTCACTTCTTCTACCCTTTAAATATTTCTCCCACTCTTTAAAAAAAGTACGATAAATCAACTCATGAGTAAAGCATCGAAGACTACTCAATTATCTAAGAGGAGAAACATCCAATCACTGGCATTGAAAAACAAACTATTATGTTCTATCATTATTAACTCATTAGAAAACAACGGGAGGGTGGGTAGGGCAGGAGATCTTAAATAATGAGCTTCCTTTCATAGAAAATAGATTTATCCTGGAAAAATCAAACATTATAAAGGAGGCCCAGTCAGGTTCTGAGACTTAATTTCATTAGCAGAGGAGCTTTGTAAAAAGGACAATACAAAACAATGTAGCTTTTTCAGGGGTTACATTTGCTTCTGATTTGAGATGTTGCCTTTCCAGCAGCAAAGGCAGGCTTCCGGCTCTACTGCTTTTGATAACATAAAACTAAGCTGGTATCACTCCTTTCTAGACGTGAGCTGAGCCAGTATTAGCTTTCTTTCATGCAAATGAAAATAAAACATCAAGTTTAATTACATTCCTTTTTTTCCTCTCCAGCTGCCTTTAAAAAAATTAAAAAAAAAAAAAAAATCCTCACACAAGGACATTTTTTCATTGCGTTTCAGCACGTGCCCTGACAGGGAAGTGAGCCTGCAGCCTCGCGGTCACGGAATGGCACTCCGGCCCACGGAGCCACGCCGGGCGTGCCGGCTGCCTTCCACGGAACATTCTGACGTCAAACCTACGCCCGCAAATCAAACTGGAGGGCCGGGCCCGAGAGTAACCGGCTGCTTCCGTGAAGGTGGGGGGAGAGCAACGCTGCTCGAAGCCCTGGCAGCAGAAAGCTTCCGTGCCCCGCCGACACGCCCGGAGTGTGCGAGGAACAGAGGGCCGTAGTTAGTAAAAACGCATTCGAACATGATGAATTGGTGAGCTTGGCACCAGCTGTATGGAACCAAATGCTATACTTTATCAGACAGACATTTGCAAGTTTTACATCTGCTTCCTGCTAAGAGAACATCTGCTTCACGCATCCAGGCACTTTCCCAGTTTCCCAGTGATTTCTACTTTGCCCGGTGAGTCGCGCCAAGGACAACGCACAGCGGCAGGTGTTGCTCCTGAAGCCACGGAGCGAGCAGACGCGTCCGACTCTATTGGCGTGTGTTCCACGGGAGAGCGGTGCTGAGAGCAAGCCCGCGTCTTCTCTGGAGGCGATGACGGGGAGGCGGGGGACAAAAGAAGCGCGTTTACAAGGAGCAGCGCCGCCGAAGCCGTCCCGCAGCCGGGCATGCGGTGCCGCACACGCAGGCGACAAGCCCCTCCAGACACACGGCACCGAGTGTGCGAAGGAAACGTGTCATTCATCCTTAAAATTCTCGTGTAAATAACGTCTGCTTATAAAAGTTGCCCCCCAAATTACTCGGATGCAGGTCGTGGAGAAGCAATGTGAAGACCAACCTTCTGGACGTGACCTGTTTCTGCATCAGGCTCACAAGTCCTCTCACCGAGAAGCAGCAGCTCACGGCCAGACAGCTGCTCCCCGGCGCGGCCCTGGAGCCCGCCCTGGCAAACACGCTTGCACGCACACACGGCGAACACGCTCACGCACACACATGGCATGCTGTCTGGTTGCATTCACAGCTGTGGGTCAGAATGAACGACTCTTGCCCTCGAGGGGACAAGCCCTGGCGCGAGAGGGGCCAGGGCCGCAGGCTCTGGGACTGCTGTCAAAGTGACCGTGCTCCCATGGGGCGGCCACCAGCCCCGGGCCTGCTGTGGCCTCCACGCTGCGGACGGACCCTGTTCATTCTCAAGACTCCTTGCTTTGCAAGGTTGTTCAATGGGAAGACACACAACTTCTGTGATATCAAGTAAATAAGACAGTTACAGTGGGAAATGTTAGCATAAGGGAAAAAAAGACTAAAAAAATTGAGCGCTTTTAGCCAGTTGAGAATTACTTTTCCTTATCACTGAACATTTATTTGCTGGGGAAACAAAAAGTTATAAAAATTTAGTCCTTGATCCCAAAGGGTTTATTTTTCAACAAGAAAGAACAATGCTTTCCTAAACAAGGAGAACCACTTCCACGGAGGCGCGGCATCCGCTGAGAGAGTAAAGGGCCTTTGGCCTGAACACGGCAACCAGCCTCCCCGCTGGGCTCTGCGCTCCTAACTGGGCTCGTCTCCCTCCACGACCCCGCTCACCCGTCCCACGAAGGCCCCCTGACCGACAAGGACGAGCTCCCTGCCGCTGGGAGACACGCAGGGAGCAAAAGGGACGCAGCCTCCGCCACCTGGGAAGCCACACTCTGGAACACAGTGTGGCAGGCGGAGCACAGGTGGGGGGGAAGGCCGCACCCAGGACGGGCGGAGCGGAGGCCGGGAGGCGAGGCGGTGAGTGCGTGGGGGGGCGCTGGCCGCACAGTCGTGGTCCCCACCCGCCGCACCGAGGGACAGAGAGGAAGGCGGGGGCAGCAGGGGGTCAGGGAGGCTGCTGTGCCCCTGAGCTCCCTGCAGCGTCCCTCCCCCTGCCCGGCGACCCTGCCCCCTTCAGGTCTCAGCCTCCTCACATCCTCCAGGAACCTTCCGACCGGCTCCCAGGACTCCCGGTGAGGCCAGTGCGGCGCTGACTCGCTCCCCGTGCAGTGGAGCTGCCCGCCCGCCGGCGCCTTGCTCAGGGGCGGCCGCGGGCAGACGGGCGGCCTTGCTGGGCGGCGCTGCGGCCCTGAGAACTGCCCGTGGCACCGGCAGGTGCCGCGCGCGCCCTGACCACGTCCCTCTGACGCCCTGGAAGGTCCGCGAGCAGACTCGGAGGCGCTGTTACTCCTTCCGGGAGCCCAGGGTTCAGATCCGCGTTACCCGCAGACCCGGCGTTCAACAAACAGCCGGCAAAAGTACAGTCGAGAGCCAAAAGCCAAGGGTGCCCGGGTGCCTGGGCGAAGGCTGCGTTCACTTGAGGACACTGCCAGGGCCACGGAGCGGCGCGGGTCGGAGACCTGGACGTGCCGTTTACGGTCAAGCCGCCCGGCCGCTTCGGCACGTCTCCTCACTATGCAGTTGCCAGCACCTCGCTGCGGCCGGGCGCCCCGACAGCGACGTTTGAGCCTTTATTCAAAGTACCTGCGTTAAAGAGCAAGCGTTCGACTGCTCTACTCCAGTTTAGCAGGGGGTGGGGGGTGGACCGGACGCAACCACATGGCACACACGGACATTTCTCTCTTCCTCCCGCCCTTCCCGTCTCTACAAAAGAAAAAAAAAAATTTGAAAAAACCCCTGCTTTATTCTAGGGAACTTCTTTATAAGCATCCCATTTGAAACAGATAAAGGTGAGTAAAAAATTTTTCTTGACAACAAAAACCAGTAATTGCCACTGAAGGATAAGAGGATTCTGTGCCATCCTGATTGCTTGTATAAAGATATATTGACACATGCTATGCCATAAGCTGCTAGAAATTAGTCAGATAAATCAAATCTGTCCAATAATCCAATAAACCAAAGCTCAAAATATTTTGGAAAACTCTCTATCGGAACTTCTTTAGATTCCTCATTAATTTTCCTGAATATTCTCACGGATTGTAAATCTTTCACTTTGGACGGTGGATTTCACCTTCATAAGCAACTAGCCATTAGAAGCCATAGTAGGAAATAAGGTCAAAGATCATGACACTTTGGATCAAAACCACTGCCAACATGTAAGTCTCCTTGCATCATATACCTGTTGTGAAAACAATGCCTAGTTTTTAAAAAATGTAGACATGCTTAAAAAGAGAGAGACATGCTTAAAGAGGCAACAGGAAACTGGTGTTTAAAACATCACAGACCGCCCTGGCTGGACTGGCTCAGTGGACTGAGCGCCGGCCTGCAAACCAAAGGGTCCCCTGTTCGATTCCCACTCGGGGCACAGGCCTGGGTTGCAGGCCAGGTCTCCAGCAGGGGGCACATGAGATGCAACCACATACTGATGTTTCTCTCCCTCTCTACCCCTCTCTAAAAATAAAATATTAAAAACAAACAAACATCACAGACCCCCCGGAAGCGTGATGAAGACCGGGGTCCGCCCCAGCTGCAGACCGGCCATCGAGACCGGACACACTGCGGCCCTCGGCAGAGCGGCGCCTTTGGAACTGCTTTCCTTCTTTTATTTTTAAACTGCACCCGACAGAAGACAGACTTTTACCTGTGACCCTGTTTGTACACACGCAGAAGTAAGAGCCCCCCGCTCCCTGGTGCCCTGAGCGCGGGGCGCTGGCAGGGGCTCCAGGCCACGGCCGACCTCCCGGCCCTGGCGGCCGTCGGCACCGGTCTCGCCACCCCGCCCGACAGGCATTGGTCTGAGGTAACTGCTGCTTCACTGGAGCAGGTGAGGAAACGCACTGGACCGCGAAGGTTCTGACCTTGTTTTAACCTAACCAACACAAGCATTTTTCCTCCACGGACAAACTTCTTAAGAGACTGGATTCTTTGCGGGGAACGGCACCGTGTGGGCCGCTGCCGGCACGTCAATGAGCTCCGCACACAGAAACCGTACCTTAATGTTCGAAAACCACAGGTCGTTCTCGTGCAGGGTGGCCAGGTAGACGGCCGTCAGCACCCCAGCGCAGAGGGCCACGGCCCCGCCGGCTGCGAGCGACAGGGTCTTCCAGAATCTCTCCCTGGTGCCACCGTCTGGAAAAGGGGACGGAGAGCCGAGTCGGTGAGGAACTGCACAGTCCTACCTCCGACCGTCACGTCTGCTGCGTGCCGGCCGCCGGCCTGCATGCCGCGGGGAAGCGCGCCGCCCAGGACAGCCGGGGCTCCTCCGGTGGCCCCAGGCCACACGCCCCACTCGTGGCAGCTTCCCCGTGGGACCTAACTGCTCTGCCTGCTGGATGTCGGCTTCTTGAGAAGCTGCCTTAGCGGCCCGACCGACGCCCAGAGCCTGTGTTTGGCGCAGTGACGTGGCCGCAGTGAAGTTACCAAGGTTGTGAAGTGAGAACAATGGGTTACAGGTCCAGGACGTAAACAGTCTGCCTGCAATTTGTGATCCAGTTACCATTTGATGGGTAACTCGAAATCCCACCCAAAAAAGTAAAGAAGAAAATTTCAGGAATTTGGCTGGAAATAAAGAATAAAACATTTGATTCGTGACTCCATATGTTAAGGAAACGAGACCTCCTCTCCGAGGTCATGCTGGGGGTGCAGACGGTGCAGAGACCAGGCAAGGGCCCGGGAGCGAGAGCGAAGTGACGGCGGCATCTAGCAGGGGCGCCGCTCGCTCACACCGTCCGAATGGCAAGGCCCGCACTGCCCCACGGCAACCAGGCCACGCGCCAGCCGGGAATGTCGGGGTGTCGCCTGCGTCTCCCCTGCGTTTAGGTCGCACTGCGTTTTCACCCTGCGGCGGTGACAGTTCACATGCAGAAGTGAAAGCTCTCCCTACCTGCCGGTGATGTGTGTTCCAGCGTCGCGGTCTCCTGCTGGGCCCCGCCATCTTCCGGCGCCTCTGTGGCTTTGGCCCCTTTTCTTTGCCTGACGGACATCATGGTGTCAAAGGCTCCCGCGCATGGCTCTCCCCACGGCTCCTGCAGACAGCACCTGAGACAGCGCAGAGGAAATGCTGCCCACAGGCCAGGACCATGGCCTTCCTCAGCCCGTCCCGTCTTCCCTTCCGTCTCCATCGGCCGGCAGAGATCCGCTGCCCCCGGCACAAGAGCCCATGCACGGCGTGTTTGGGACGCGCGCAGGCGGGAGGAGGCGGGGACGCCCCTGACACCCCAGCAGCCCCGGCCTCGTCCCTGCCTGAGCCCCCGTCACCGCACAACTGTCACCTCACTGAGTCCTGCAGGCTAGTCCCACAGCTGCGCACCGCCGAGCGGTCCGGCAGCGAGCCTGTCGGCGGCTGGTCGCAAAGACCTGAAGCACCGGTTGTGCCGGGGGCGGAATTCAGCGCCCGCCCTCTCTACCCGCCCTGAGCGGTGCGCGGTGCCGGCCGCGGTGCTTTGGGCGGGTTATGGCTCCCGAAAGGCTAACGGCTCGCTCGGAGGAAAAGAACCGACCCCGTTGTGCCATTCCTGCGCGCGCTCGCTCATTCATTCGCTCGTCCATTCACTCATTTATTGGTCCATTTGCTCATTCGTTCACCCATTCATTCATTCGTTCACTCGCCCAATAATTCCTTCACTCCATTCATTCATTCCTGCGTCCGTCCGCTTCTCCGTCCACTCGCTCATCCCTTCGCTCGTTCACACAAAGCCACGCGCCCCACGCGCACGCGGGACGCACTCCGGAAGCGCAGGCTCGGCGCCGCGGGTCCCCTCGCGGCAGGCGCAGAGGCGGCCGGAGCTCCACGGCCGCCACCCTCGGGGCGCCGCGACGGCGGACGCGCACTACACCCCCTCGGGGCCGGCGCTACTACAGCCGCGCCGATCGCTACACAAGCCTCCCGTCCGCGAGGAGGCCCGGCGCGCAGCGCGCGAGGGACAGAGCGGCGCCGGGTCACCGCCGACCGGCACGGCTGGGCCGCCCGAGCACACACCTGCGCTCGGCCGTCCTCGCGCCGCTCCGGGCGGGGCAGGACCGGCGGGCGGGGCGCCGAGGGCCGAGGGCCAGGGGCCGGGAGCAACGCGGAGCCGGGGAACGTGGCTCACCACCCGGAAATGGGGCCTGGGGACGTTCGCGGCTCGCGAAGGGCGCGAAGGAGGCTGGGCCGGTGCGGTCGCGCCCTCGCCCATAGGCTCCGGAAGCCGCCTGTCATCGCGGCCCCGCCCCCCACGGCGTCCCGCCCCGCCCCGTGAGGTGCCGGCCGGAAGGAAGCGGCCGGGACAGCGCCGGCCGGAAAGCAAGCGGCGCGCTTCCGGTCGTCACTGAGGCCGGAGCGAGCGCGGCTCCGGGAGGAGCAAGCGTCGCAGCTGCGGGCGCCGCGTCCCCATCCTCTCGCTAGCGGGTGCGGGAGGCGCGGCTGGGGTGGGGTGGGGCGGCGCGTGCCGTGCTCCCCGGGTCCCCGCGACCGCGCGTCGCCCGGAAGGCTCGCCGACCGCCGGCGGGACGGCCCGCGGACCCGTCGGCAGCGCCGACCGCACTCCCCCAAAGTGGGCGCCGCTTCCCCTCCGCCTTCCCGGGCGCGCTCCTCGGTGGTCCCGGTCCCCTGTCCTCGCCGGCACCCCGGAGCGCCGACCAGGGCGCACCTGGGTGTGTCTCCACGGCCCCAGGTGCCCGGCTTCGTGAGGAGTCGGCGTGCGTGGGCCTCGGTCCCCGCGCCGCCTGCACGAGGCCGGCGTCTCCCGCGGCTTTGGCTCGGCCCTGTCCCTTTAGCGAACCACCGCCGCCCTCCCCGCACGGGCGCCCCCGCGCCTGCGTCTGGGTGGATGCGACGAAGCCCCGACGCGTCTGTGCCCCGCTGGGCTCGTGCTGTGCGCGCGCCCCGGGGCTCTGTCGTAGCCCGGCCGCGCTGAGGTTGGGAACCGGGGCGGCCTTGCCCGGGGGCTGACATTACATGGAGGCCACCTCCCCGCCTTCGAGTTGTTCGTCAGTACTTGAGAAAAGGCGTTACGAAACAATGTATTTTCCCTCTCCTTCGGTGAACGTTGTTACTAACTGGATTTGCGGTGGTTTCGAATAGTCAGATCTACAGGCAGATGAACACAGGTGCCCGTTTGTCCAGACTTAAAGTTAATAAAGTGCATACAGGTGATCGATTTTGTTTCATTTTCCTCCCAAACACGAGCTTTCTTAACTGTTTTCTGTGGTTCCCACCAACGGACACCTGTTTCATTTCCATGGTGAGAAGAACCGATGTTATATCCTGGGGTGAGGACACAAATTGTCGTTATTCAGTTAAAGCCGATGAGGCTTTGCCACATAAGCTTTTTCCAAACGCGACAATACCTGGGTGTTGGCTGTTCTGGTCCGCAAACCGCTTGGCTGGTCTTTCCCGTTCGTTTCTCTGGACGGTTCGAATCCCCTCCGAACGCATGTACTCCACAGGCGTCTGAGGTCCTAGAAGTGAACGTTTCCCACGCACCGATGCCAAGGCGCATGGCCTGGCTTGAGACTGGTGTTTCTGTAGGAAGAAGCAGGACTTCCAGCAGGAAGGGCATGTGTTTCTGACTTTTCTCAAATTAGGGCTCATCTCGGCTGGGGCTGTGTTTTCACGAAGACCACCCCCCCCCCGCCCCCCACAGCCCATCCATGGATCTCGGTAAACCAGCCCGCGGGGCTCTGTGCGCCAGGATTCACGGCCTGATTGCAGAGTAGCTGAGTGGACGCTGTCCTGCGTGGATTCCACCCCTGGTGGATTCTATGACGCCCAGTCACAGCCACCTCTGCGAGGGGTTTCACCAGTCTCTAGACCGTGTAAACCTTCTCTCAAGGGACCAGGACACGAAGCGTGTGGCATCTCTCCCCACAATGATCATCAACCAGCTACGTAAGAGTGCGCATGCTCCATGCTGTCCCCCTCCCCCCAACGGGAAGATTGGTCTTGGGGGTTAAAAAAGGTCATACTGTTTATGTATAGGGCACAGATATGCAGTATATTGAAGGTACTCAAATTTCATGGGGGGTCGATGATGAAAAAAATGTCTAAAAACAGCTCCTAGGGTGGATGATAATGAAAAAAGGTTGACATGTTGCTAATAGTAAGGTTTGGTGGTGGGAGCCCTGCCCAAATCTGGAGACACTTTTTTTCCCCCACTGGATTTTCAGTATAAACAGGTGGGAGGGGGCAGGCCAGAAATACAGGCTGAGGACTCAGAATTAACAAGGACTGCCCTGGCATGTGTGGCTCAGAGGATTGAGCACCGCACCAGCCTGAGAACCAAAGGGTCGCTGGTTCGATTCCCAGTCAGGGCACAGGCCTGGGTTGCAGGCCAGGTTCCCAGTAGGGGGCGCGCGAGAGGCGACCACACATCGATGTTTTCCCTCTCCCCGTCCCCTCTGTCTAAAAATAAAATCTTACAAACAAACAAATTCAGACTGGCTGCTGAAACAGTACCTCAAATAACAGTTGCTTAAAGGAGGCATTTATTTCTGGATCAAGGAAACAGGTCAGGTCCAGTGCCAGACTCATGTGTTTTGTATTACAAGTGCCCATGTTACATCCAGTTTTGCAAACTTACCTTCCTGCTCCTTTACCGTCTGCACTAAGTGACGCACTGGTGTAACTGGCAAGTGACCGAGTAACAAGACACCAACTTTGGGCGATTTCCTCATACAATGCTAAGGGTTTATATGAGGTGCCTAAAACTAAACTTAATTCAACCAAAGAACTTAAAAACAACCAAGATCTAGAATAATCTACCTTCATGAGGCAAACAAGTTAAACCGTGACTACCGTTATTAGAAAAAAGCCAGTACAGAACCCAACTATGCCATGATCTTACCAATATTCTGTGGTTTGAATGAGAACGCTAGGCAGTTGATTAGGGGCCCCCCAGAAAAGCGAGGCCGGCGCTGGCCAGCGCAGGGTGGCAAACCAGATCCTGCTGCCCACGTGTAACCCTGGACACAGTTCACCCCTCGTGGACACTTGGATTCTGAGACATAAGCCAAGACATACAATCTAAGTAAGCCTATTGTATGGCACCAGTGAAAACCAGAGGCTTCTCCAAGAACTTCTGGGGCCAAAAATGTCCATTTTACATCTGTACTGAGTGTGGCAAAGGGTCTGCGGGAGAATACTGTGACTTTTTCTAATGCTGCCAGTGTCGTCAACATTCAGCAAAGCCACCTGCAGCCTCCACCTGACCCAGGGACGCGGCTTGACTCACCCAAGCCATTCACCATGAAAAGGTGCACAGAAGACGCTTTGCTTTATACCCCGAATTATTCAATTGCTGCCCCAGGGGAGTGGATTGGCCACCTGGTCACCTGCACCGTGGCCAGATGTGTGGGCATGTGTCCACATCGCATTTGGGCAACCAGCACTGAACTGGCGGTGGGGGGGGGGCGGCAGGGGACCGCACCCGTGAAGCTGCATGGTTGTTGGGGGTAAACAAAACACCGTTTTACAGCATTACTACTTAATTGTGCATTGTTATTCCAAACTGTGCGTGTGGCTCTAAATGGCAAAAACGAGGACCTAGTGAGTTACGAATTACGGTTGAGGTCTGCAGGAAACCAGGAACACTATAAAAACTACAGAGGAGTATTGAATAATATAATGTAGTCCCCGAACGGTGCTATAAAGCTTGTTTCTGGGCGCTTCAAAGCAGAGGTCGTACGGCGGTCCCAGTTCAGAGGTCTGCGAACGTTTCCTGCTGGACTATTTACCATCAAAGGCACAGCGGCTACTTGGCCTTCTGACCTCAGAGCCGCTGGCGCCCCTCGTGGAGAGCCCCCGGCAACAGGTGCCCGGGCTGCCGCCCGGTGAGGCCCCGCACACACAGCCACCAGGTCTGATGCTGGGCTGGAATTCACGGCCTCCGCATGCACAGCGCTGCCCAACAGCAGTACAGAGGGAGCTGCGTGGGCAACATTTCTTAGGTGCTACAGCAAAAGAAAGTGAAATGAATTTTAATGATTTTATTTAACCTAAAATATCCAAAGTATCATTTCATGTAGTCAAAACTACTGAGACACTGCCCATTTTAGAGTTTCTGTCACCCCCCCCCCCCCCCGCCCTGCCATCCCTATGCTCAACGCCATGTGTCTGGTGCTGCCAAACCGCGCCCGTGCCTGGATCCTGAAGGCTGGGGTTTGTGTGCGTCTGGTTCTTGAGAGTCAGGAGGTGGCTCCCAGGATGGGGGCGGGGGGGACAGATGGGATGCGGGGATCCAGCTATGGCGAGGGAACGTGCGGCCTCATACACAGTAAGGCGAGGTGGCCCAGGAGGCTCGGGCACAAATGGACCACCAGACCAGTGATACAGCCAGATGACATCGCCACACTGTGCACGCAACACACGAGTCTGGTGTGAGGAGACGCCTAGTCCAGGCCACAAGGCGACCGAGGTGTGGGCACCTCGGTCACCTCCGCACCTTTGCCCTTCAATGACGCACACTGTCTGTCACGGACAGAGCTAGCGTTTGCACTTTGACTGCACAAGAATTTCAAGTGCGTAAGGATGTGATCTGGAGATTGAATGAACTGTGGCAAAAAAAAAAAGCACCAGAGTTAGACTGAACTTTTAGTGATGACAACAATCTAAACGCATTTCCGGTCCCTTTGTGGGGCAGTTTGACACCATCAGCAGTTTAACAAGTGACCGGGGCGGGGGGGGGGGGGTGATGGACCTTCAGCAAAACCTTGGGACATTCAAGATCTAAACTTTCTAAGCGATGACATCATATTTCCAAGATATGCATGGACATAACCTTTTGTTAATAAAACTTCGAGGCTAGTGTTTTTAACAAAAAATTTATTACCAAAATACAATATTAAAGTCAATACATGACAAACTCCTATAAAGCAAAATAAATTACTCTAACATTGTACAGTATCTCCAAAGGTAGCTGAAGCCGGCAGCGCCGGGCGCGCCACCGGGGGGCGGGCCGCCGGCCGGGACACCGTCCTGGAGCTGGGGCGTTAAGGCATGCAGCTCGCTGTGCGGGGAGCTCTACAAAACGCGCGTCATCCCGTTTTCAACAGGATGCAGTGTCAGAAGAACTGTAGTCTTTACAGGTCAGTGTTCCAGAAATTTCTAGACTTTGGCTATAGAAGCAATGCCATAGTGTTACACAATACTCATTTCTTAAAAAAATACATGTATTCATGTCCATGAATAGCAAACTCAAATTTCTATTAAATATATTTTATAGAATATTACTTGGAGCACCTTGCTGTACAATAAAAAAAGATTAAATAAGTGTCTATGAAAACTAAAAATAGACCAAGTCTCCACAGAGCAGCCTGCACGTCCTCAGGCAGCTTGTACGCGGCAGACGAGGCGCTGACACCAGCGCCCACTCCCCGCCTCGTGAGGACCGAGAACCCCGGGCCGCTGCCGGCGACCTCGGCCAGGGAGCGGCTCCCACACACTGTCTCCAGGTGGCCCGGCTGTGCTGCACCGCTGGACACCGGGAGGACGAGGGCCCCGGGCCCCACTGCCCCCTCCCCACCACTGCCCCCTCCGGGAGTTTCTTCGAAAAACTGTTTCCACTACCAGCTCTTACAGCTGTTAAGTGTTCAGCGCGGACAGCAAGTGCACAGGCTCAGCACGGCTGCAGGTCCGCGCCGGCGCACCCCATGCTCCTAGAGAGGGAGCCCCGGCCGGCGCTGCGGCACTGAGCCCCGCATGGCTGCCATCGGCCCTTCGGTCTGAGCCGCGGAGCGGAGGGCCACTCGCTGGCTCTGGCCGGCTGCGAAGTGGGCACGGGAGCCCAACAAGCTGGGAGAACACTCTTGGCCAGGGGGACATTTAAAGACTCTGAACTGCTGTGTCAGTTTTCCCCACGAGCTGGGGGAAGTTTCAATCCATGATTCCAAAAGGACAACTTAGGTGACAACCGATGGAAGTGGTCTACAGAAATGAAGAAAACTAAATTAAAAAATTCCCTGTTGAAGTTTTGGGGATGTTTTTGGATATTAGTATTTTCCAAAATGATTACATAAAATTAAAGCCAAGGAAAACTTATGAAACAAAAATTTTTTAGGGTTAATTTTCAGAATCATAGATTTCTGTAAAGAAATACTGAGTCACAGCTACCAGCAATGGAATAGGCTGAGTGGTAACAATGTGCTAATAATGGAACCACTTGAAGTACTTTATTGGAATTTGAAAGGAAATAATTGTTGTAATTCTGAAAATAGGAGAAAACGAATATAAATCCACATGAAGTGGACTGGGGGAATATAATTTACTATATATAATTCATTTTATCTTTGTAAAAATCACGTCAGAAATGGATTAACTTTCATAAATAACTTATAGCTACCTAAATCAAAGAGCTGCAAAGTTACAATCAATTCTGTTTGCTTAAAGATCTTCGTGGAAATGAAATTAAGAAAACAAATCAATGTTTCCAGACGCCTGGCCCCACGGAAGCAGCTCCCAATGCGAACGCGTGCACTCAGGCCGCGCCTGGACTCTGGGGAGACAAGCCTGCGCGAGAGCTGCCGGCAGAGTGTCCGGCCGCACCCGCCTCGGCCGTTTCCGAGGCCCTGGACTTCCGGGCACAGTGCCCTTTAACAAAACAAGGCAGGAACAAATGACAAAACTGCAAAAGCCCAAACGAAATCCCCTGTGGTCTTGGAAATGCATTATAATACAGAACGTGTAAACGGGGAGAAGTCACATTTATTTGAAGGCGTGTTTTAAAGCACAAGCAGGCAGCGAGTCTTCCGCGTGTCCCATCACACGCGCGAGGAAGGAACTTCCTAGAGAGGAGAAACCCTGCAGACTCGCCAGCGGTGCCTGTCACTTAAGTTTTAAAACCACGAGACTTTTCAGTGTATTTTATCCACATTTGGTTACACCTCGTACGCCAAGTTTAACTACATTAATTAGCTCCAGGAAAGTAAAATCTCACAGCAGCCTTCACAGGGGGACCCAGCCCATGGCCCGCGGGGCCGCACGCAGCCCAGGAAGGTTCCGAACGTGGCCCCACACAAATTTGTAAATTTACTTAAAACATTAGGAGGTTTTTTTTGTTTGTTTGTTTTGGTGATTACACGCTGCGATGTATTTGATGTGGCCCAGAGATGCCAAAAGGCTGGACATCCCTGCAAAGGGACGCTGGATCTAGCCCTTCTTCATTTTTATTTAAGAGAACAAACTATTTCCGAGGTCCACGGACCGAACGCTAACTGGCAGTCTTTGCTGCTCACAGACTCTTCCAGGTGAGGGCCTGGTACGAGCGGCAGAGTGTGCAGGCCCATCCCACCCGGAAGGGAGCCTCGGGGCAGGGCTGGCCTGCGCCCGACGCAGGCTTCCAACGCTGCAAGTCTGGTGGAGTCTGCTGGGCTCGCCTGCTTCCTCCTCCTGTGCCCACAGAACTCTGTAAATTTAAGATAGTAACTGACTCCTTAAATGCTCACTTACAATCTAGCTTTGGATTTACAGGTCTCTTTTCCTCTTTCCTTTTTTAAAAAAAGAGCGAAGCAGTGTTTCTTAGGTCTGATAAGTTCCTATCGGTAGGCAGGTGCCCACGAAGCCCTCCGGCTGAGCGCTGCCTCCCACGGCCCACAGCACGCGGCGCCCGGCGCTGGCCGCCCCACCACGGGGGAGGAGAGCCCAGCTCTGCTGAGAGTGTGACACTTCTGCAGCAATGGGTTTTCGAACAGTTCCTGAAAAACCCTTTTGCTTGCATTTCTACACTATAATAAGCTTTTAGTAATAAATACACTCGACGCTAACAAGAGGTAACAGAGGGTTAATATGGGGTTACTTCCTTGCTTCCTCTCCAGCCTATTTCCCCTCAAAATATTTAAATATTAGGACCACCTATCCATTTGGAATTCCTTTGATTACGTTACCCATTTGGTTCCAAAACCACACCTGCCACTTCCTTGACCACCACCCGCCGCCTCCGCAGGGCCGGGCTGGGGGGGTTGTCCGAGGCTGGGGCAGAGGGCGGGGGGGCGGGGGGGGCGGGCCCGCGGCCTCAGCTGGCGTTCAGGGCGGGGCCGTGGTCCCTGCTCAGGATGATGTTCACTATCTCTCCCTCGTGCTCCTTCATGTGGTCCAGGAGGTTCTCCTTGCTCGTCGATTCGAAGCCGCAGATGCAGCAGCAGAAGAGCAGGACGCAGAACTCAGTCCCCGGAGGGGCCACGCTCCCGCTCTTCTCCAGTCCCCTTGGGGCGGGGCTGGCGGGGCTCCGCTTCCCGCTCTCCGGAGAGGCCTGGGGGGCCAGCTCAGGGGGCGACGCCGCCCCGTCCGGACTTCCTGGGGACGGACCAGCTCGTTCTTCACTGCTGTTTGAGACAGTCTTTCCCTGGGGCTTCCCCAGAACCCTACAGAGCCAAACAGAAGCACCGAACCTTGAGCCGGGGGACGCAAGCCTTGACCTCGCAGCTGAGGGCGGGGCGGGGGGCCGTACCTGCCGCTCTGAGAGATGGCGTCGTTGATGGCCTTGTTCACCTGCTCATAGTTGTAGTTCTGGTCGCTCGCGTGCTTCCACATGTGGGACTTCAGAGACGGGGGGTGGCTGCACACGTACCCGCATAGAGAGCACCTGGGGCAGGGGCGGCACAGGAGCCACGTTACACGTCGGGCAGCGGCCCTGCCCCATTATTACACTCCTCCTCCTGAGGGCTGACCAGGCCTCAGGCGCCACTGACTCTGAGACACACAACGATTTCAGAGGCTAAAATGTCCTGGAATGGCTATCCTAGACACAATGAAATAAAGTATTTTATAGTACGAAGAATCTATAAAAACCAGGACAAATATCCCAGATTACTTTAGTTATTATAGTGTTTGGAAAGATTTCTAATATAGTAACATACTAAACCTATGCCCTAACTTATTTACACCAAAATATCCTACATACCTCTATTTTTAAAGGAAATTAAACATGGTCACATACTTCTCAGCACGAACTACGTGCTTATTCACAGATGCCCAGAAAACAAAAGAGGCCCCGACCAGTGCCCACACTGGAGTCCGCGAGGGAGACAGGCACGTAATGACCTCTGCAGAGCGTCCAGGGCCATTAAAGCTGTCCCCACGTGGGCGCGCGGGCCGCAGCCTGGGCTGCAGCCCTTCCGAAGCAGCCGATGCTTCCAGACCGCCCCTGGGTGACCAGGCCCCTCCAGTGACACCCTGTGTCAGCGTGGAGATGCCACAATGACGCGCCGACACCAGCACGTCAGCAATGAAATGCCATGTGGCCGGCCCTCGAACGGGGAGGAGGGTGCGTTAGGGACGCGGAGGCCCCGCCGTCCACAAGGGCACGCGCAGCCCAAACCTACCTAGTTTGGGGCCGGCTGCAGTGGACAGGACGGGGCACTGTCTGTTGTACATTCTGTGTGTTCTGACGAGGGCACGATGCCCGGAACCCACCACTGCAGTGTCACCCTGAGTAACTTCCTGCCCAGACACCCTCTGGGGACCTGTTCATCTCTCCTTGCCCACTGCCCCCCAAAGCCGAATCTCTCATAGGGAATTTTATTCCTTTTTCGTGGTGAGACTCCTTTGCTGGAATTACTCAGGGCTGGAATTGCTGAAATTGTGAAGTTAATTTATGAAACGGAAAAAGCACAAAACCGACAGATGTGTGCATCTTCCTCTCTTCCAACCAGACAACATGTCTCCTCTCCTAGGACTCAAGCTTAACATCCATATTCTTTAACAAATTAAACAATGCTCTTAAAAAAAGAAAAGCCACAAACCCCCATGGACATTTCCCCATTGCTTTCTGAGAGGGCGGGGAGGAGGGGGGCCAGGGCGGGTGAGAAGGAAACACCGGCCAGCAGCCCCTCGTGTGCCCCTGCAGACGCCCGGCCAGGGGCCGCGCCGGCTCCCTCCCAGCCTGCGGGATGACGCTTCGCCCACGGAGCCTCCGGGCCAGCGCGAAGCCGCACTCTTGAAATCAGTGTGTGAATGCGTCTCAGGGCCTGACCCGTCCTCAGACGGCTACATGCGCTTTCGGGAAGCTCGGCGCTCCCTTCCGTGTGAAGCGCTGCCGTGCGAGCGCGTGGACCGGGACTCCAGGCTCGTCACTCACCTGTAGGGCTTGTCAGAGTTATGGGTTCGCCTGTGGTTTCTGACACCCACACACGTCGTACTCGTGTAATCGCACACGTCGCAGCGGTACTGTTTCTGGACTGAAGGCTGATTCCCTAGACAAGGCATTTCAGAGTTTCAGTGACATGCTTTCGTTAGATTCAAATGGCAGTACTTACACTCCACTGTTAACGACCTTGTGCACGCGTCTAATATAATGCACTTGATGCCCTCTGTTCTGCTGACTAGCTGCAGCCGCATTAGCCAGAGAGCAGAGAGCCACTGATACCTTGTCTTAAGGAAACTGATTTGCCAACAAGCTGTAACTTAATGCTAGAATCCAGTATTGCAAAGTGTGGCTACAAAGTATACGTGACAGACTGGATACAAACAGCCCGAGCTTTTTCAGCCTGTAGGCTTCCTGTCTGTAACCATCAGCTGTCCACCCCGCTGCTGCTACGTGCTAAGGCTGCGCAGTGACAGCTCACAGGGACGAAGGCCGTAGCCGCTGTGAAAGTGCAGCTGCATCCACAGGTCGCTGGGCCACAGAGCGGGGCTCCTGGGCCCTGGAGCCTGGACGGCGCCTACGTGGCCCGAGCCCAGCAGCTGCTCCTGTAGACGCCCGGCCCACCAGACGCCCTGAGGGCCCCACGCACAGGGAGGCCCACAGCCCAGCCGTGGGCCAGAACCATGCTGCACAGAGGCCGACAGGCAGGGGAAGAGGGGCTCAGGGACAGCACGGCACGGCACGGCGCGGCGGTGGCGGAGGACAGAAGCGGCCCATGCTGAGACCAACAAGATAAAGAAAACCCTGAAATTAAATTTAAGCTCTCTACAATGGAAGGTCCCTTTTGCTAGTAACCCCTTTTGCCAGGCATAATGAAATATCCTCACTTCCTGGTGTAAATCTGTTACATTACCATGCACACGAGCCACGACCATAATCTATTATAACCTAAGCATCACTTTCAGGGGCCAGGGTGGAAATGAGGACTTTGCTGTGAGGGGCACTGGCCCCAGCGCAGTTCAAGGAGGAGCCCCGAGGAGCAGCGGGCGGCCTGTGGTTTGGTGGGGCAGCCGCACAGGCGGGACGCGGGGCCCGAGGCTGAGCAGCTGGCCTGCAGTTTCTCCAGGGGAGGGAACTGGGCTTCAGCTCAAGACCTCGGGCTCCATCCTTGCTGCCACTTGGTACCTGGTGACGGTGAGCAAATTATGTCCCCTCTGGGGGGGCCTGGTTTTCTCACCTATAAAACCGAGCTCTCAGAGCCCCCACGTGGCTTGGCGCACCCAGGGGCACTGCGCCCTCCCCCACCACATCCGCGCTTTGCTGCCTTCCATGGGAAGGCTCTTGAAGTGCCACTAGCTGTGGCCTCTGCGGGCAGGGACCTGCGTGTACAGTGCTCGGCCACTGCAGGTCTGCACGGAAGCACGAGTCACTCCAATCCCACAAGGGAACGCGCGGAGATGCTCTGCCTGCGGCTCCGCTGGAGCCCCCGTCGGACCTGCTCACCGGGCTGGGTCCCTCAATGGCGCTGACAGGGTCCCCCAACTCCCAGAACCCAGACCCGGTCCCACCTCAGGACGGTGCTCCCTGCCTTAGGCAGAGCCCTGTCCCAAGTACGACGGCCCAGGCCTTGGAGCTGCAAACTTGCCGTGCAGTGGGCAGAAACTGGGACCACAGGGACACATATCTCTTCTCTGAGGAGATTACTAAATGGTTAAAAACGTTTCGGCAAACACAAATAGTTCCTCCCTTCTCTGGAGGCTAAAAAAACGGTCTTTGGCCGACAACCCCCTTGGAAAGGCCTAACGCTGAGTGCAGAAGGCGGAAGGCGTCAGTGCAGGCTGAGCGCGCATGAGGCCGCCTGCCCTCCGACCGGCCGGCCGCTCTGCGAGGTCTCGGCAAGCATGTGGGGCGGGCGGGGGAGCCACTCTCGGCCCCAGGAGGCTGCAGAGGGGAGCGCGGTGGCGACGCCATGGCTGCGGAGCTCACTGTGAAACAGTGAACTGGTCCCTTTAGTTTCGAGCTCACGCCAACCTTTTTACTAAAACTGTTACTGACGCACTCGGACAGAGTCAGAGGATCTCTTCTGGAGACGGCACAGAAAAGACCTGGCCCAGCTCTGTGGGCGTGGCCGGCAGTGCCCGCAGGGGTTCCCGCCCACAGACCCGTTCCCCACTTCCCCACGGCATAAGGGGGGCGGAGCACGAGGACGCGTGGCGAGAGCGGGGCCGCCGTCTGGGCGCAGCACCCCTCGCAGAGGCAGACGCTCGGCCGCACACCCCCGTGTCTGGGAGGCGTCTGCGGGGACGACATCTGCCTGCCTGGGGCCACGGCAAGTTGGACACGTTCTTTCAGAGAGGTTTCAGAGCTGGTTATGTTTTCCGGAGTGTAACTGAATGAATGTCACTGTAAAACATTTGGCTCTGCAGTTGTTTCTGGCGTCGATGCTCAGGAAGCCTAAAAGGGAGGCCACCGGACTTGCCCCACTTCCCAGGAGCCCGGGCAGCGCCGCCAGGCCCAAGGCGCAGGCAGCACAGCCCAGCTGCTGGGCCCCAGCTCGCTGGTCGAGGCGCTGCCTTTCCATGGACCGTGATGGACCCCTGATTCGAACACTACTCTCAGCAGCAACCGCCCGGCCCCTGGCTCGCACGTCGCTCTGGGCTCTTCCTGAGAGGAGTGCAGGCACCCTCCAACCCTCATACCTGCTGAGAGTGACGGCCACAGGGGGGCCGGGCTGGAGGCGTTGGGCGGGGCGCGGGCGCTGCCACCTGCCCACTGCTCCCGCTGGTCCGCTGGTCCGCGGTGGGGAGGGGCAGGAGGGGTGCTGCTGCTACGCTGCGGCCCCCCCCAGCTCGCTCGTGTGCCCCCTCAGGGTTCGGGCTGCAGTCGGCCCTCGTGCCTGCCCGTGAGGGGCACCGAGCCCGTGTGCAGAGCGCTTCATCGGGCACTCGGAGCCTCCCTGGGCGGTGAGGCCTGACTCCGTCGGCCGCAGTCCCGAAAACCACCCGTGTGGCCGGCAGCTCACGGCGTCTTTCCCGGGGGCGCAAGGCAGGGCGGCCGAGGGGGACACGCACGCGTACCTTCCTGGGCGCACTTCGCCTCGGCCGTGTCCCTGGGGAGCCCCGGCTCGGGGGATGCCGCTTCTGATGAGGCCTCGGGAAGCCTGTGCCGTTCCCTCTCGTGGTTCCTCAGCTGACTCTAAAAATGCAGAGAAACGAACAGGCAATTTCCATGGGACACACCGGCAGGCACAGGAGGCGTGGAAGCAGCAATCGCTGCTGTGGCCTGGAACCCAAAACACGCCGCCCGTCTCTCAAAGGCCAAAGTGCTGAAGGGCCACCCGAGGCGCCTGACAGTTCGCGGGAAGATCAAGGCCTCGGGGCCGCCAGAAAGGCGGTTCTCCCCACGTCCCGGAAAGGGAGGTGCCGCCCGCTGGCCGCCTGCCCCGTCTCCGTGTGCCCCTCACCCCCGCCCCGGAGGCCACGCCGGGTGCCAGGAGGGCGGCCTGAGTGGAGTGGAGCCCCTTGCAGAGGCCCGTCACCCCGACTGCTGTTTACTGCCAGCCTCGCCCAGCTCTTGGGGGCCTGAGAGGAAAAGTGTGCATTCCCGTTTCCCAGCGAACCCCTCAGGATGCTGGGGGGATAAAAATTCCCCCGTCAACTGGCACATCGAGGGAAAACAGTTCTAAACGGGCGACCCGACGAAGGCCCGTTTCCTTTACAGGAACAGCACTTCCTGCCGGCTGCGGGTTCCGAGGCTGCTCGCGGGGTGAAGGTCACACAGTGAGAGCGACCCCTGCAGGGCCCTTCCCCGCCCCCACAGCGGCCACGCGACCCCGGCCCCCTCTCCCTGCTGCAGGAGGTGGGCTGCGGGGGCGGCAGGGCAGCCGCCACAGCCAACGCCCTGCTCTCTAGGGCCGGCTGGTGCTCCCGGTGCTGCGGACGGGGGCCAAACGTGTGTGACCCCGTCCCACTCCCCTTGCGTCTGAACAGACATGCTGAACCGCGAACGCAAGGAGCAGCGGCCGCCGGGAGGTCCTCCCCATCAGTCCCGGTGACCCAGACTTCAGGCCCAAGAGTGATGGCCACTCGCTGGGATCCCCTGGGCCGACGGCCCACCTCTCCGGGCCTGATTCCTGGTCTGTGCCATGCAGGGTGGCGGGGGGGGACTGCACCCTCCGAACCCACCCTGCTGCGAGGCCCCCGCGTACCTTGTAGTGGAACGCCTCTGCGCAGCGCTTGCACGGGTACAGCCGGGCCTTGCAGTGGTGCACCATGTGGCTCTCCAGCTCCCGGCTGCTGTCCGCCACGTGCTCACAGATCGGACACTGGTAGGGCTGCCGCTGCCGATGGACCCGCAGGTGCTGCTTGATGTAGCCCTTGTTCCCACTTGCATAGTGGCAGAGGCGGCAGCGGTAGGGCCGCTCGGCGTTCGGGAGGTACTCCACCACGCCGCTGCCTGACAGGGCGGCCTCGCCGCTGGGCTGGCGCTGCGCGTTGTCCTGCAGCTCCTTCAGGATGTCCTCGTCGGAGGCATCCTGGTCCGTCCTCTCCCTCAGCTTCTCGATGACCGTGAGCAGGGACACGCTGATGCCCGTCTTCGCCTGCCCGTCGGACAAGGCCTGCCCGCCCTCCGGCAGGGCCACCAGGGGGCAGCTGCTCGGGCGGAAGCCCGTCAGCCCGTTCGAGGAGTTTTTCAGTGGTGACATCATCTTAGAATATGCCGCCCGCGTGCCGTCCGCCTGCTTCTGCCCCGTGTCCGGGTCCAGGAGGCTCGCGTCCCCGTAGTGCCCAAGACTGGCTCTCGTGAGCTCAGCAGCTCGGATTGGCATCGTGACCAGGGCTTCTGCCGCGAGCGAGTGCAGCCTAAGGGACTCGGAGTTCGTCCTCCTTCGGCCTGGGGGGGCGTTCTCGTCAGGGGCCAGCCCCTGATGGAGTAACTCGCTCTCCTTCTTCTCTGCGCTGCTCCAGCCTATGATCAGCCCCCCGATGTCGACGGTGCACTGGCTCGCCCGACACGCCCCGCCTCCCCCTTCGGACCCGGCCCGGGCCTCCGTCGGGGGCAGGCTGTCTCCCTCTTCGATGGCGGCGCCCACAAGGAAAGGCTTCTGGGACACGGGCTCTTCCGCACTCGGCAGACGCTCCACGATCACATTCACGTGACCTTTTCTATTGGGGCTGCTGCTGACGATCTTCTGTGCCGACAAGAGCAGGCTGTCGGCCACCCGACTCTCCTCTGCGTCCGTAATCACCTCGAGCACGTCCTCCTCGGTGGGGTCGAGGGTCACCGACTGACCGAGGCCGACGCCCCCCTCGGCACCCTGCTCTAAAGGCGTCGAGGACAGCGGCTCCGAGCGGCAAATCTGCACCTGGACAGACGGCCCATTGTGGATGCTCAGCTCGTTCTCTCCGATGGCGATGACCACGGCATCGACCGTGCTGGGGGCAGGAGCCACTGGAGAGTCCAGCAGGCCCAGGGGCTCGTTCTCGTTCTCAAATATCGGGTAGGAGCAGTCGACCTCCCCGGCGTGTTTCCACGCGTGCGTTTTCAGCATTCTCTGCTGCCCGCACGTGTAGCTGCAGAACAAGCACCGATACATGCCGTACTGTTCGTAGGCGTACCACTTCCCCCTCCCCACGCCCGCCTTGGGCGCCGCGGGGGCGGGGCGCCTCTGTGGGCTGCTCGCGCTGCCAGCGGGGTCGGCGCTGGCCTTGCCCTTCCTCTCCGTGGGTCCCGGGCCGGCGGCGTCGGGGGGGCTCGCGCACAGCTGGGCTCGGGGCTGACCGAGACCGGGGGCATCGTTCTCGTGGTCGTTGGCCACGTGGGCCTCCAGTTCTTCCTGGCTTCTGGACGTCACGCGGCACTCCGAGCACATCAGGATCACTTCGTTCTCCTGACCGTGCTGCTTGATGTGGTCCCTTAACACAGCGAACGACGGCGACAGAAACTGGCAAAGGCTGCACTGGTAAGACATCCCCTTCCCGTCATCCTGGGCGAGAGCCCCGGGGCGCAGGGGCCCTTGTGACGGCGCGGCCCTCCCGCCCGCAGCAGCAGGAGGCAGGGCTGCCTTGGCTGGAATTTCCCAGAATTCCTGGCTTTCAGGAGAGCATGTCCCAGCCCCTGAACGTGCGCGTTTCTTCCCGATTAAAAGACATTTCTGGGACTTTTCGTGTTCCACGATCTTGCTTAGCTTCTGGATGACGTGGACCAGCGGGTCTGCCTTAGCGGCACTCTGCGCGTCGATTTCCAGGGAGGAACTGATGATGGTTCCGGCCGCCAGGATGGCTTCCTGCTGCCCGACGCCCGGCACCAGCACTGTGACGCCGCTGCTCTCCTCCATGTCTAGAAAGGGGAACAGACAGCAGGGCGGTCACAGCGCGCAGGGCGTGCGCGGCCCTGTCTCTCCCACGGGGGCCCTGGGCCAACGTCCCGCAGAGAGGGGAGGAACTCGGCAGGCCCCTCGGGGTGCACACCCGCCTCCCGTCCCTTCCTCTGGTAACGACTCGAATGACCTGCGCCCCCCGTTCTCGTCACTTCCTTCCCCCAAACCTGGCCAGGCCCGGTCGGCACCCCATCTTCTGCACAACCGGCTGAGCAAACACAGCCACTCCCAGGGCGCACGGGGCCACCGCAGGTGGCTCTGAAATAGCGCTTCTTACACTAGACAGGCTGCTCAAATCATAGATTTGTTTTTCTCTGCACGTCTGTGGAACCGTGAAAGTACAGTAACTAACTTATTGGCCAGGGCACCGTGGACTTTGAGGAGTACTCTGGCGACGATGTGGTTCCTTCTTTTACTTCCTTCATCTTCCTGAGGATAAACCACAAACTGCGCTGTGGGTTTTTCTGGAGGTCACATTAGTGGTCAACTATTACTCACACTGTACTATTTTTTTTTCTTGAAAGGGAAAGAGGCATCAAAGACGGAAACAACCGACATCCTAGTTGAGCTTCAGGTCCACACACGCACAGGGTCCTTAGACAGTGATGCCCCAGGGCAAGGAAGTCACTCAACATAAGACACGTATGCTTTCTATCAGCCTAAATCTTAAATACTCTTGTTTCCTGACATAACTTTCATTTCAGACATTCCCTTTGGCTTAAAGTCAGATTAACTGGTTGACTTGGAGCACATTTTTAAGTTCAGGCATTTTTCCAACAACAAGTTTTGTTTTTCCATATTTTAGGTGCGTTCTGGAATCTTACAACATCCAGTAAATGCCAGGGAAGTTTCTAGTGGCACTAGCTGCAGGCCAAAGACCACGCTGTTCTTAAACGCTGGTCACAGGCTCTGAAGTCTAATTTCAGGAGGTGACTTGGGGCCCCCGATGGAGACCCCCCGGTCCTCAGGCAGCGCCAGCACGCCTGCCCGGACCCACGCCAGCAGCGGGGGCTCCTCCCTGTCTCCTGCTCTCGCGGGCTCGCCGGCTTTCTGAGTCTAGGTCCGTCCACATCGGGCCAAGACGCAAACGCTCTCCTCGCGGCTCCTGCAGCGCGGCTGCGCCCCCGCCCCGTGCTCACCGCGGGAACGCGCTCCGGCCTGGACAGCAGCGGCCCTGGGGCCACGCCCTCCCCTGAACCACCGGAGGGCACCGCCCCTCCAAAGACGACAGCCACGCCTTGACCCCGTGTCAGAAAAGCAGGCGACAGCCCAGTGCAGAGGCCGGGCTGTTTGGCTTCGCGGCCGTGGGGCCCACAGGGAGCAGCGCCGCCCGCCCTCCCCACACAGCCAGCCCTGCCTGATGCACACCGCTGGCCCGGGGGGCCCAGACGTCCCTGCGCGGTGCCCACCTCTGCGCCACCGGGGCCGGGACAGCCGTGGCCGAGGGCCGTCTGTGCGCCCTCACACCGTTCTCGCACAGGCAGAAACCTCTGCACACGACCCCAGTCACTAACGAGGGACCAGGGTGAGAACAACGGTTTCTCCAGAAGAGCCCTTTGTGGCTTTCGACGTTGCCTGCCCGCCTGTGAGGCCACACTGGGAGGCCCAGGGGAGCTGTGGCACCTCACACAGCCACCGGGTCCCCCTCCGGGCCCTGCACCCCCGGTGCAGCTTCAGCTCAGCTGTTCACTGCAACTAGTCATGTGACTGCTGACGAGAGGAATCCTGGCACATTCCGCCTCTCGCCCGAGACTGGGCTCCACGGCAGGCACACAGCCTGGGGGCCAACGCCGCACTCCCCGGGAGGCGCAGGCTGTCCTGGTCGGCCCCCTCCAACGGAGGGGAGGCGGAGCGTGCCAGCTGCTCCCCGCGGCTGCTCAGGGCGCGATTTAAGAAGAGGGTGAAGTGAAGAGAAGGAGAAGGAGTTATCTCACTGCAAGAAAAACACATTAAAAACCAACCTGACAAGGTGCCTGTTGAAAGCTGTGTGCTCCGGGAGCCCTGCCACGGACGCCCCGTCTCCCGGGCCGGTACGTGTCCCGCTGTGCAGGCCACGCGCAGGGGAAGCCCAGAAATGGCAGCTCTGAACAGCCCTGAGAACGTGACCACCCCCAGGCACCCCCAGGGAAACCAGTGTGGGCACACATGCAAAGAGCAACGCAAAAGTCAAGTCTCATTAAAGCGAAGCCTCTGTGACAGGTCTGACCTCTCACCACAGAGGCTGCAGAGGGGGCCGCGCTGCCCTTCAGGCCGGCTCGTCCACTGCTCACAGAAAGTTCGCGCGGGCCACCAATGTGCAGACATGCACGGGACTGCACGTCAAGGGAAGCAAAATGTATGTGAATAATAAGAGGAAAAAATAAAAGCACATACAACCCCCACGGCTGAGCCGTAATGGCAACACGGACTGCGGGGACCCGCATGCTGCCTGAGGTCTCCAGGAGACACACGTGACAGCGACCGCAGAACACGTGATGACGGGGGAGGCTGGCGGAACGGGAGGAGGAGGGTGACTGCCCGGCAACCTTGCAGTTGGGGCGACGAGCACCGGGGACTTCGCTGCGCCACTCTACGTGTGTAAATGCTTAGACTTTTTAAACAACAAGTTACAGAAAACAATTGGTATGTGCAAGGCACCAAGCAAAGTACCAGGAAGAATGGAAAAATTTTAAATTTACAGTACTCATACTTTAAAGCTGAGTTGAGTGAACAAGACATTTTGACGTTTAGAAGAACAACTTTGAAACAATGCAACAGAACGCAAGGTAAAAACGTCAGCAGGCCGCGGACGGCTGTGGTCAGACCCTAACGGATGCCGAAGGGCTGTCCTGGCCTGGGGAGGGAGGCCAGGGCTCCCGAGGGGTCAGGTGGACACCGCGTCCCAAACGATGCCATCCGTCGGCCTCCCAGGCCCTCTGTCCCAGGAGGGCACATGCCACAGGGACCCTGTTCTCTGGCTTCTGGGGGACCTGTGCCAGTGGGGAGACACGCCAGGAGTGCAGGGGCCCCCAAGACGCTCGCTCTGGCCTCCCTCCTCCAGGCCCCACTACCTGGCCTGGCTGCGGTCCCTGACCCGGCCACGCGGGCTGCTCCGCAGGAGGCTCCTGGCTCTGGCCCTCGCCCATTTCCTGATCTGCTCCAGGCAACGCGCTATCCTGGGGGCCGCCCGCCCAGGCCCTACAGCTTGGCCGAGAGCATCTCTGTAAAAGGCGTCCTGAATTATCCAACTTTGGGGGTGCCACTTGCCTTCTTGCCATTCTGTTGACACAAAGGGGAGGCTGACAAGGACAGCAGCCATGATACCACATTTTCGGAGGCAGGGACACGTGTGCTGTCTGGGGCTGGTGCAAAGCCCAGCACGGCTCCAGGAGAAGACTTACGGTGGGGGAGGGCGGGGAGAGACTGGAGGCCTCGGCAGCACAGGGGTTTCCTGTTTGCAGCCTTCAGGCATAACCACCTTAGAGCCAACCTATCAAACTGTTACAAATGTACCACAGACCAGGACAGTTCTGTCGCCTCTCCTGCCGAGCCTCACATCTTCCCCAGACGACAGGTAAAAGCTCTAACATCTTTTGCAATAAAAGAGCCACGTTAACTCAGTTGTCTTTACTTCCTTGTACTTTTCTGTTGGGTTTATTTACACGTCTCATCAGTCTCTCTCAGGTGGAGCGGTCGGCAGGGCAGTCGGACTCACGCCGGGTGGGGGCTCCGCGGCCTCGCCGGCGCTGGGGAGGCGGAAGGGGCTGTGCACGTCCAGGACAGCGCGCAGCCTTACGCAGAACCTCTTCTTTCAGACTGAGGGCTCGCTCTTTTCCAACTGGAGAATCTGCTCTACAAGCAATGGCCAATTCCCCATTCTTCGAGATTATCGTTCGTTCTAAAATACAAAACACTCACTTTGTTCTGCAAAGAAGGCCGGAGACGCACACTCGCGGCCTCCTCTCGCAGTGGACGCTCTCGGGGCTGTGTGGCCCGGGCGAGTCCTTGTTCCTGTGGGTCTCCCGTCCCTCAGACGGAAAACAAAAGATCGGAACTGGGTGAACTTCTGTGCCCCTGAATGCTACGCCATCTGTAAAAATTACCCACTATTTATAGATCCACCTCACTGATGTCAGCTATAATTTGATTAAAATCTTCCTAGCTTAACGTAATTATTAATTGTCACCAGAAAAAAACTGAGTATAAATACCACAAGTACATGAATTTCACAGAATAAAATTTCCTGGCTGGTGTCTAGCCTGAGGCAAGAATATCCTAGCTTGGGAGCTCCTGGGAGCACGTGAGGTCACCCAGCAACCAGATGCAGCATCGCTGAGCAGCAGTGCGCAGGACGGTGCTGGAGGCTGTGCAGAGGGGCGGGGTCCCTGCCCACGGCGCCCGTGCAGACCCTCCGCTAATTCCTGGGGACAGCGGCCCCTTTTCTGCAGGTGAGGACTCTGCGGCTTAGACGCAGAAAGCAGCACGTGTTTTAAGAACTGGAATCCGAACGCACGTGACTCTCAGTCTGTCCTTTCTCAGGACACTGATTTCTCCTCCTCGCTCCTAGAGAACGGAAATGAATAAAGTCGCGATGCTGAGAGTAGGGCCCCTCAGGGCCGGCCTGTGCGGGGGCCCCAGTGACACTACACCACCTCACAGACACGACAGCACTGGGTGCCTGCTGAAGTGACTCACCCAGGTGACAAGGTAAGGGTCTATCAGTCCCCAGAAGTAACAGTCCCCTGGATGAATCTCCAACATCCAGCTGTGGCCAAGGAGTGTGCAGAAATCAAGCCTTTCTCTTTCTTGGTGAAATAAAGTAGTAATATTGGGGGCAATGAAACATTTCTCACTAGTCTATGTCCAAAAGACTATATGCCAATGTACATAACTTATCTCCTAGGTAGGCTTGAGGATTCTGGACAAGTCAGAAAAAGAACAGCTCTGCAAACTTCTCCAATAATTGTGCACTTTCTGCTTTAGCTCCTAGATTTTCTAACTCACTCAACGTACCGTTGGTCCTGACATCACCTTCTAGTGAAGAAGAGACAATCAACCACACCCTGCCCTTTGGATCCGCACTCAACACAGCCGCAGGGGTGTCCACCCTGCACCCCGGGCCACGTGGAGCCGCCAAGGCCGTGAAAGGGCCCAACCCAGAACCGTAAATTTACTTAAAACATCATGAGGTTTTTTGGTGATTACGTGTCGCCAAGTATTTAATGGGAGGCCTGAGACGACAGCTCTTCTTCCAGCGTGGCCCGGGGACGCCGAAAGGAGGGACGCCCCCGGCCTCAGGGTGAGCCCGCAAACTCCAAACAGCCCCGCGGCGCTGCGCGCAACGGCGACCCGCGGCCCCCGGCCCGCAGCCCCTGGCTCCCGCCTGGTTTCCTCTCTGGAAAGAATCTAAACGGTCAAGGGGGCGCCTTCGTCCCACCGGGACGCGACGCGACGCTGCGATGCGGTTCCTGCCGGGAGGAAAGCACTCGCTCCCCCGGAAGGTAGCGCGACGCGCGCTGAAGGCCCGGAGGGCCTGCTCCCTCCGCGAACGCGGCGCACGCCCCGGCCCGGCGGCGGACGGCCCGACACTCATCCGCGAGGGCCGCCGGGTACCGGGCGCCCCGGTCCACCGGGCGGGCGCTCGCTCCACGACCGGCGGCTCCGGGGCCAGGCCGGCTGCGCTGCCCGCCCCAGCTGCCCTGCTCCTGCCGGGCCGACGGCCGGGCGGCGGAGACGGAGCGCGGGCGGCCGGCAGCCGCGGGCCTCGCCGCGGGCGCCCACGGGCTGCAGGGGGCGGCGCACATGGCCGGCGGCGGCGGCGCCCGCGGCGGCGGGGGGGCGGCCCCGGGGCGCGGTACCTGCGGTCAGGCAGCGGCGGCTACTGCTCCGCGGGCCTGCGAGTGCCGGCCGGACGCCCCCGTGCCCTCACCCTCCGCCTCTCCCGCCGCGCTCCCGACTCCGCGCCTCCTTTTCCCCGCTTCTCGGCTCCTCACCGGAGCTCCAAGATGGCGGCGCGGGCCCGGTCACGTGAGCCGCAGAGGGTCAGGTGACCAAAGCCGGGGCTGAGCTGCTCGGGACCACGCCCACAATCTCCCTGGGGGCGGGGCGCGCCCAGGCCACGCCCACAGGGCCGGAGACCTGGCCGGGCCGGCGCCTTGAGGTGGGCGCCGGGGGTGTGCTCCAGAGGCCCTGGCACGGGCGCCGGGGTGGGTGGGCTTGTGTCCCCTGCGCCTCCCGGCGTGTCCGCATTTGGGGGCCCGCGCCGTCGCTGCGGCCTCCCGGGGCGCCCTGCGTCCTCTGCAGCCGCTGAACTTGGTGCAGCTTTAGGTCCGGCTGGACCCGTCGTGGCTGGAACGCAGGGAGGACCCGGCTGGGTTCCCGGCTCGTAGTCGGGGATGGCCTGAGACGGGCAGGGCTGGCCGGGGCCACGCGCTGGAGGGGTGGAGGATTTTCGGGGCAAGGGCTCATCTTGGGAACGCGGCCGCAGAGGGCGCCGTGGTGGTTGCGCCGGGATCCGGTCGGCGACGAGCACGAGGTCCCGGGCAGCCTGCGCACGTGGTAGCTCACAAAGCGAGAAGAACGGTGCGCTCAGCGCCATCCAGGAGGCTGGACGGTGTGGGCGCACTCAGGGCGCCGCCGGCCCTGGGGTCTGGACTGGGGTGGTGGGCCACCCACAGTACAGAGATGGTTAAACTGAAGATTGGGTCTCGGTGCTGGACTGAGGTGCCGCTGGGCACTGGCAGGTGCCCGGAGTCTCGGCGCCAGGCGGGCCTCACCTGGTGGGAGGGGGGCCCCCTGGCCTCAGAGTCGCCGCTCAGACGGGTCTGTAGTTCCCGAGATGCGCGCCTCTGTACCTCGTCCCCTGAATTGGGGGCTGGGACACCAGCAGTTAGAATTGTTTTTTTTTTTCTTTCTTTCTTTCTTTTTTTTTTTAGTGAATAGTTTGCCAATTGGATCAAACACCTAAGAAGAAGGAAAAGAAAGGATTAAGTAGTTTTTGGGTTTTTTTTCCAATAAAAGAGACTGAGCAGGAGATTAGCATGGAAGGGGGGGGAATCAGAAGAAAACCAGAAATACCTAAAAGGGAGAATGTGAGATCAAGCAATCAGTGTGCAAGTTCCTCCCCTTGTCCTTTGCTGCCAACACAAACGCTCCTCATTGGTATCACCCCGAAGAGAGGCTTTTCTGTAAGAACGTCCTCAAATCTGAAAGTGGGCAGAATGGAAACCAGAGAAGTAATTATTCAGTAAGGGGAGAGTACGGAATATCGTGGAGGAACCGTGATCCAGGGAAGGTCAGGGGGTTCCAAACCAAGTGAGGGAAGGTGGGTTTGGAGTCCCTGTGGAGCGTCCTCAGGTGTTCGTGGGGTCAGCACCGGGTAGGACAGAGCCCCTGGCGTGAAGGTGTGGCCTGTGACCGGAGGGCTGTGAATGGTGGCAGCGAGCAGGGCCGCGTCCATCCTGGAGCGCCTAGCGCCCGGTACCGCTCCGGCCAGAGCACTCGTCCCCACAGGCTGGAGGACCGGTGGTGGCGCAGCCTGCGTTGCAGAGTGACCAGGTGGTCGACCTGTAGGGTGAGGAAGTCTCGGAGGTGTGGGAGCTGTTTGTCAGGGCAGCAGGACAGACACGCCTCCGCTGCTCCCTGAAGTCGCTGGAAGGGGCACAGCCAACGGGGAGAAACCCTTCCGGGCAGACAGGCGTGTGAATGGAAGAATGAGCCCCTCCGTCCCCGAAGGCAGTCAAGGTATTGGAGGCCGAGTCCGAGAGAAGAACCTACGTGTTTCCCTTTCCTGTACACAGCTGTCCAGAAAATGACAGTAAACATTTCTGAGACAGAGAAAGGCAAAGACGTTCAGACAGTTTCACTGGACCTGTGCACAGCTCACAGAATGGTATTCGTCCTGATTTAGTTAACCAATCATAGCAAGATTTAGTGCGATCGCTAGGAGCCGTGCCTACCGGCCTATCCAGAACCTACCGGGTGGAATCGGATTCTGTCTCCAGATGAGCGGTGGCCCAGACAACTGACTCCCTGTCTTCACACGTCTCATTAGTCCACTTTGTGGCCATGAGTTGATGAGGTTAAAGGTTTTGCTTCTTCTACGAGCATCATGGGTCTGTTTCTTCTAAAGTGGGACTCGGAAGATACATGGTGTTCGCTTCACAGCCTGAACCGGAGCACCGTTAGAATGCTGGGCGCACCCACGGGCAGGGCAGGGAGTAAGTTGCCGAGGTGGTGCCTGGTTGTAAGGCGGCACCTGAGAAGACCGCCTTGTTCCCAGGCGTGATGCTTATGAAGGACACTTTGTCTTTGGTGTAAGAAGACCAGATTAGATGTTTTTGGGAAGAGATTAATCATGTAAGTCTTTGGCACGGCACAGAAAATTGGAGGAGACACGTTAGCTGGTACTTCTTTTAGTTGTAATTGTTATCATGAACTTTAAAAAATATACTTTGAATACACTGCCTCCAAAAAGGAACGACTGTGGAAGAGGGAGAGCAGGCGGCAAGGCTCAGAGGGAAAGAGGACGCGGTGCCGTGGCTGAGAAGACAAGCAGCGCCTTCCCCGACCTCCGACGGCGCCGGCTTTCTCCCGTCTCCCTGCCTGCAGAGCGGGAGCTCCGCCTGCCCTTGCTTCGAGCCTCACACGCCTGCAAATGGGAAGTCAGGAGTTTAATGATAGGACTCCTCAGGGTTCGAAACGGGACTTCATCATTAAGAATAACGACAAGGCTTGATTTTATTAATGAATGAAAAGATTGCTTGATGTAAGTCAGAAGGAATGTGAGATTAAAAGACGTGATGTATTATTATATATGCAGCTGTCAGTAATAAATTAACATTAGCTGTGGGTTCTTTACACTTTGCATCCTGAATATACACCTAGAAATGCTTCATAATTATAGCTCAGGTCTCGAGAATCATCATCAATTACCCATCTGCCATTCATTCCCTGCTAAAAGCCACAGACCGACCTTATTTCAGCGGCACGGCGACGTTGAAACTGCCGTGCGCTACAAGGCACACATGTTAATTCACTTCTCCTTGTGGACCTGAGTGTCCCAGAGAGAGGGGACTCCGCAGCCAGGAGGGGCGGGCGGCGAGCCGGGTGCCCCCGCATGGACTGGGCTGGGCTCCCGCTGACACGGCCCTGCTTGACTCCCCCCGGCTGCTCTGGGCCTGAGTGGCGTCTGGTTTAGAAAACGGGCTTAGACGGTCAGAGCATCGAAAGCAGCCCCGCCGCCCAGGTGTTCGTGGGGTCCTGTGCGCAGTTCCCTCCGCCCCTGGGATGCCGCCTGGTACCCGGACCGGAGCGAGGGCCGGAGTCCGTGGCGGTGACACCTGGTGGCTTACCTGGAACATGCGGTGAAGCCACACGCAGGAGAGCCTTTGTTCTGCCTGCCTACCCAGCCCCCCTCCCCTCCGCCCCGGGCCCCGGAATCAGTGGGCGAGCTGGGTTTCTGGCAGAGTCTCCGAATTCATGCTGATTCGTGGTTGGGCTCCAGACACGGCACCAGCAGGCTGGGCGTGGGGGTGCAGGGGGGCTGCTGGAGGGCGTGGGGGGCGTGCAGCCGGGTGGCATATGCCGCAGACGCCCGCGTGGCTGCACGAGGCTTGGCCGCCCTGCACGGCGGGGCCCGGAGCGCGCCTCTGCCAGGCTGTCTCTGCCTCAGCACAGGCTGGTTATTGGAACGCGCTGGCAAGTTTCAGTCGTCTTTGTCAGTAAGTCAGTCTCCGCGCCACAGAGGGAATGGAAATGAGATTTCGCCGCCTCCTGGGGGCTGCCTCCTTGCGCCACTTTGTCTGCTCAGGAGCCTCTGCTGAGGTGGGTGGCAGCTATTTGTCGTGTCCAAAACCTTGTTGACAGGTAATACCACCTGCGTTGGAACAAGACAACGTGATTATAACAGGGTGCTGTGAAAGCCTTCCCCCAGAAGCCGCGTCTTAGCTCAGTGACCCGTATTGATGAGAGAGGCGCAGAGGAGGAAAATGAAAAGAAGAAGAAGAAGGAAATGAGAAAAGGCGCTAAGAGAGGAAGGAGCTGCTCGTCAAACCACAGGAGCCCGGCTGCGGGGTAATCCTGTGACCTAAGAACGTGTCGTCTGTTATTTTGACAGGTCCTCTTGGGGCCATGGGCTGGGGAGCCCTGGCCCCCGCCGCTGACGGGGAGACCCACTGCGGGGTTCCTCCTGAAGACCCAGCCGCTGGAGAGCCGCCCAGTGAGCCCGCGCTCTGGAGGGCTCCCGCTCTGGCTCCCCTGTGCTATGCAAGGCCGGGCAGGAGGACGCGGCTTTGCACGTGACCAGAGGGGACACTTTTCTCACCGAGAAGGAGACGTGGGTGAGAGAGGGCAGGGAAAATGCCTGTGGCACATGGGCCTGTTACCCCCTTTCTGCTCACGTGGTCTGAGCTGCCCGTGGGAGCTCCGATAAGCCGTAGGTTGGAGGCCCAGCAGAACCGCAAGTGGCATGTCTGGAGCTGGGCGTGCGCAGGTGGCAGGACATACCTGGGCCCCAGAGCAGGTGGCCTGGCTCCATCATCCACCAGCTGCGCCGGCACCTCTGGGCCCCAGGGACAGAGCCTCCGTGTGACCAGTGATGGGGCGAAGCTGGGGCCGGGTTTATGAACGGATCTGCTTGGAGGTGTGAGGCGCGGGCGGACACTGCTGTCTGCCTCGCGGGGACACCTCTACCCAGTGTGGACGGCCGGAGTGGGGTCCAGGTCAGGACTGGCCAGAGGTGTCTTGGGGCTGGTGCTGGGCCAGGCAGAGGTGTGGGGCAGGCCCCTTTCTGGGGAGGGGATGGCGTTTGGGGCCCGGCTCGCCTCATCTCACCCGTCCTTGGGGATGTGGCCCTGCGGTCATTCATTCCGTCTGCAGCTCCTGCCCCGTCTCGGTCCCCCTCGGCAGTCGTGAGCTCTGGGAGCCGGGGAGCCCAACAGTCTGGTTCATCAACCTCCCCCCTGCACCCCCCAACCTAAAACGGGGCCGGAATGCT